TTTGAGAGGATACCTCTCATGTGTCCTTTGCAGAGCGTTGGGACAGGGCCTAGTAGAGTTCCATGGGTATGAAACGCTAAATATTTCGTCAGATTTTTATTTGATGTATTGATCAGTTTTGTTGATTTTTTTTCTCTTTAAAAAATTTTTTTTTTAAAAAACATGGAATGTCTCTGTAGGAGAATGGAGGATACAGGGAGAAATGCGGGTGATATAAAACCAAACCATATCAATAAAAGTTTATTTTTAAAAACATATTAAGTGCACTGACTTAGAATAGAAGATCATCTGCAGAACATGAGGACGGATTTGGGAGTGTAATTTTAAAAAAACAGAAAAAAAGAAAAGAAAAACATCAGTTGAGTCAGAGTCTATAAGGAGTCTGCTGTGATCACTGTTAAAAAAAAAAAGGTGATGTAAAAGTTATGACTGGTGGATTCTCTCAGGGGTATATTGGTACCCTCAGATATTGAAAGAACCAGAGGAAGTTTGGCAGGACATTTGATTTTGAGTTTGCTGAATAACATGCTGATTCAATAGTCATATTGGCCACACTGAAGCCATATGTCCCCCTCAATAAAACTGATTTGCTTTACTATCTTTCATGCTCTTGCAGAGGTGTGCTGATACACATTTAATAACTATTTAAGTATGCGCAACACACTTTTAAGTTTAACCTGCATTATTAATGTTTTATCTATCTCTTTCTTAAATTTAGACAATCAACAAAACACTACATCTAGTCCTGACTTGTAGCATTTGTCAATTTCTGAGATGGAAACGTTCACATTGAATATTTAACAATTGGCTCTTGCCAGCCCACACAAGCTGTCTCCAGCTCTATGCTATTTCCCTGGCTCCATGTATCCTTGCGCCGGACCTTGGTATCTTGAACCTCGCTAAATTTGTATTTAGAGAGTTGTCAGGAGAGGCTTTAGCGCTGCAGTAGGTAGGCATATAAGATTAATGGAAATGACCACTCCCCATTTTCTAATTCTATACTTCATTGAAAAACCACATAGCCCGTCATCTTAGAAATAAAAACAATACTCATATTTATACGTCTTTATTTTAATTGAACAAAACCAAGGACACACATCCACAGTGGCTGGTTCTTAATTAAGATGAAACATGACACAAGGCACAAAACATCTGTGTGATAGCATACATAATGGCTTTGTCTTTGTGATTTTGTACTTTGAAGGGTCAGCTTTTTAAAGTGCTAGCTCTGACTTCCCATTTCCCACTTTGGGTTTGCCAATATTTTAATTGATAAGGTAAGTGCTACTTTTTTTTCTTTTGGTTTCTGGATCTACATTGCAAGGTCTTTGGATATCAGCATTTGCAGAGGGGTGGGAATTGGTGGAGAGTGTTAGCCTGGCTTGTGGTTAGCCTAGCAAATGTATCATTCTCAACACACATGTGAAGATGGCTATTTAACATGGCCTGTCAATTGCATACACATAACTGCAGGGAGGGATAGGCCTAGCATTGCGAGGTCTCTTTAAAAAAAACTTTTAAAAGTTCAGGAATGCAGTAGGCAGGCAAAAGTGTGTATATGTGTGTGTGTGTATGTGTGTGTGTGTGTGTGTGTGTATATATATACATATATATTTAAATATTAATATATCTATGTCTCTAAGTGCAAATATATATATCTTAGTAAACATTTAATAAGCCAAAGTGCTGCAATACAAATATATATGTACATAAATATATATAGTAATACAAATATCATTGTCTTTATATAAAGTCTCCTATATATGGGGGAGCACTTGCAGCTACATTACATATCTTAGTTCTGTGATCAAAATTCAAAACTGCTTAATAGCTACTCATTTGGGTTATGGTTTTCTCTCCAGTTCAGGCTTGCAGGAAAATGAGAACTTGTATTAGTCTTTATTTAAGCAGAGATCAAGACTCTACAGTTACTTTTCTTCCTGCTGATGTATCAAAGACTGAGGCCATTGTATCAACTAACTGTCTACTAGACATTTCAAGCTGAATGTTTCATAGACATAACTAATTCAGTATGTCTAAAACAGAACTCATTATTTTTCCTTCCAAACTTAGTTCTTTTGGCTTTTCCCCATTTCTATCTAGGGCACCACTATTCTTCTAGTTTCCCAAGTTATAACCTTAGTGTTATTTTCAACTTCTCATGCCTCCTCACCTCATCTATCCAATCAGTTAGAAATCTATCCAATCAGCAAGAAATCTTGCCATTTCTATCTTTCCGACATCTCTAGCATCCATCCTTTTCTCACTACTCACATAGCCACACTACTTCATTTCAAGCTCTCCTCACCTTTTTCCTAGTCTATTGTAATGGCTTCCTGATTGAGTTCCCTACCTTAAGTCTCTCACACTCCAAACCATACTACATGTGTAATGTAGGCTGCCAAAGTGATTTTCCTTATGCTAAGGTCTTATGATGTCACTCACTTTAGGGGCTCCCAGTTGCCTCTAGGATCAGATATAAATTCTTCTATTCAACTTTTTAGGTCTTTCACAACCTTTGTCCAATTTAAATTGCCAGCCTCTTTCCTCTTGCCCTCTATAATCCAGCTAAAATGGCTTTTTCTCTATTCCTCATATATGGTATTCCATTTCTTTCTCTATGCCTTTCTCCTGGCTGCTTCCCAAACCTGGAATGTAATCTCTACTCATTACTTTGACTAAAGATTAAACCTCAGCTTTAAACAAAAGGAAAGAGAAGAGGCAGGAATGTGGAGATAGAAGGAAAAAATTAAAGACAGAGCCTATCCCAAGAGCTGATTTTGCAACCACATGACCACTGCAGTAGTTTCTTTTCTTGAAAAAGGAAAATAAAGTCACAGTTCAATGTTGAGAGATCTCTGATTTTCTGGGGCACATGGACAAAAATAATTACATTAAAATTTCACTTGTGATGGAAGATAAAACAACTAGAATTTCTCCTCTGATTTTTAAACAGACCTTTCACGGCAGAACAAACACCTGGTAAAAAAGCAAAGGCAGGGGAAGGGGACATACTACATCTTTTGTCTCTTGGCTCCCTGCATTCTGATCTCTCTCCACACTCTGTTCTTCTGGGTTACTGAAATAACATTTTTTTTAACCTAGAACAAAGTATAGCTTCTGTTATCATTTCTTTCCTTGGATCAATGGTCGGTCTAACTACTCAAATCATTCCCTGAATTCCCACCCCTACATAGGGGACCTTCTCTCATCAATGACAATGTGTCCCATTATGCCACTAATATAAGTTTGAATTCCCAAAATGATGACATAGCTCTAATTAGTAAACCAAAAGCCATTTTCTATCCTATTAAAATTTGTGACCCATCAAATTAACATCAAATAAAATCATGTCTACCTATAGAAGAAATAAAATTAAAATGCAAAACATAGAGATAAGCTTAGAAAACATGAAATGGCTCTAATTAGTAAACCAAAGACCATTTTCTAGCCTATTAAAAGTTTTGAGCCAACAAATTAATGTCAAAAGCATGCCTATAGAAGAACTAAAATATGCAAAATATAGAGATAAGTTTAGAAAATACAACTTCAGTTATCCTTTGATTTCTTATGTGGAAAAAAATTCTTCACACAAACTCACATATTGATACACAAATTTACAGTGGCCTACATAATCCTTCTCAACTAATATTATGTTGGCCAGGCATTAGGAGAAAAATCTGATAAAATTTTCTAATATGAGATTTTATAAATGTTTAACTATAATAAAATGAAAATAATATTTTATTCCTACTTTAGTCAGAATGATCAGAAAGTTCTCTCAATGAAATTCTTCCTTTCTAAACTCATAGAATCATAAATTTAGGGCTGAAGTGATCTTACAAGTCATTGAGTCCAACACCCTCATTTTACAGATGATGATCCTGAGGCATATAGATGGACACATATATGGCACATATATGGAAATCAAAGAGCTGAAATTCAAATACTCATTGTCCTTTGATTCCATTCAGACTACACCCAATTACTGGAAAAAGAGGCAATAACCTCCAAACCAAATTAACACCAACATACACATATAAGGCAGACATACACACACATCTTTACCAATGAAGCATGAAAAACTTATAAAACACTGATTTGATTGTACAACAATAGTAGATCCCAACATGCTAGGGGTTTTCCTTGTGTTCTCTTCCCATTTTATGGCTACAAAATAGAACCTATGGATCCACCCCATGGTTGTCCCTTCGTCTTGCTCTATGACTGGCTCATCTTTTATCTGATCAGATATTTCTTTGGTGAAATCTGTTAAACCACTTCACTTGAGTAATTCCTGATTCATAATACATTGTAGCCTACCCACTGTGTTCTTCTCCACTATTGTTTAAGTGATCCTCAACTTAGTTCTTTGAAGATTGTAGATGTCCATGACTCTCATCCCTACAACATCACATGAAGATGGCATCTGCTTCAGAGAGAAGCTTTAGGTCATTAAAACTTTGTAGTTTCCCAACAACAATCTAACTTGTTCTCTGCCTCCTTTTCAAGTGTCCATGTGTGATTTCTATTCCAGATTGACAGACAAGATTTATAGGCTTTCCATCTAACTGCATATACTAGTCTGAACAATATGCATTCTTCATCCACTTGGTTTTTCCTACATTTATTTATAAGTTCCTTATGCCCTATCATATGATCAGTTTTTGCAGAGATAATGTGTAATACTGCAAAACAGATACACTCCTTAAGATTACCATTCACTAGTCTAGAAACACCTATTATTTTTAGTTTTTGAAAGAATTTTATTCATGTTTAATTTCTTCCTTATTAATTTATTAGAGTTCTCTAAATTTGAAAGGCCCCAACAATTACTGTCTTATATCTAGGACTTATAATTCATTTGCCTTTTTCTTTAAATACTCAGAAGCTATATCACTCATTATCTATAATGCCTTTAAGCATAGAGGTTTCTTTGTTTCTCTTAACCAAATCTATTTTTAATTGCCTTTTCTGAGATAATGATTGTCACTTTGGCTTTTTAAAAAACTCCTTTAAGGCATAATTATAGGATCACAGATTTAGAGCTGGGAAGGGAACTTAGAGATCATCTAAAACAATGTTTTTCAAACTGTGGTCCAGTGATCCTGGAGGTTGGAGATCCCTTCAGGAGAGTCTCAAGGTCAAAACTATTTTCATAATAATACTAAGGCAATTTAATTTCTACTACAGTACATATCAACAGATATAACCCATATAACCAAAAGCTTATTTATTGGGGATGGAGGGAGGTCCTAGAGTATAAAGGGAACTTGAGACCAAAAGGTTTGAGAACCACTTATCTAAAGTGACCCTCTCATTTTACTGTGAAAAAACTGAGATCCAAGGCAGCTTGCTAGAAGTCATATGGGTAGCAAAGCAGCAGAGCCAAAATTTAACCCTTGGACTCCAGCTCAGTTTTTGCCATGTCATAATTACTCCAGCGCCTGGAATAATTCCTTTTACTTATATTGTTCCTTATATTTATATTTATTATATTTTATTTACATATTTATATTATAGATACTTATCTGTTCATCAAATTGGATTGAATTTGTTTGCTCTTAACATGCAGAGAGTGGAGCCTTTGAGCCCTGATTAGTAGCTTCCTAAATGTTCAGAAACTTACTCAAATCTAACTATATCAGGCAACAGAATGAAAATTCCACTCCATTAGTTATATGAGAAGTTCACAAACTTAAGAGACATCGCTTAGATAAATCAGTTTTAGCACTTCTCTCTTCCATAGCATAAAACAAGAGATGACTAACTGAATTATACAAGGAAATGCAGCTCATTTGTTCTCAGAGACACTACAAATTAACTGCAGTACAACTATGTCAAAAGAATACAGTTTTGGCCCCAACAACTCTGACAAAATTTTCCTTTATGGGATACAGTGGGCAAAATGACAAGTAATGGAGAGACTTAAGGCAATATCTGTCCTCTACTGGGGACATTTTTCCTAAAGTGACCTTCATACAATCTGGATTTATTAAAAAGTTTTTATGTTAAAAGATGCACTCAATAACCAAGAAATACATTCAGCATCAAGTCCTTATTTGACCAAAACAGAAAAGAGTTGGATCCTGAGGCAACTAAAATCAAATGAGTAAGCAACAGAAACATGAATTAGACATTGTTTCCCCAACTTTTCATAATTCAGATTCTCATCAACTCTGCTTTTTATGCAACTCAACTAAGTGGAATTTTGATATTTCCAAAGATCCTTATTGTTATCTAACCAGTTTCAGCCAAGTCATAAGAATACTTGTTGATAGAGTTTTTAATTACTATAAAGATCCTGTGGAAAGTACTATACCATTATACTACAAACACCTTCTTAAACTTTGTATAAAGATTTGTTTCAAGTAGGTTGCTTATGCACAGCAAGTTATTAGGTTTTGCTCCTTAATTTAAGCCCAGATTTTCTGAATCCTAAATCTAATTCTGTTGCCACTATGTCCATTGGCTTTTTTAAATGACAAACACTAAGAGGAAATAATTTCTGAATACTTTATGCTTCAAATTTTTTTATGTGGATATGTTTTCTCTCTCTAACTAGATTATAAAGTACTCAATGGCAGAAGCTCTTTTAAAATCTTCACACTACCTAGCAGTGGTCCTTTGTACACAGCAGGAATTCAATAAATATTTGCTGACTGAAGACTTCTCAGGCTATTTCTAGTTTGGTCCAAATATAACATTTCTGATCTTCCTAATGAAATTCATACATCTGTTATTTATTTTTTTCTTTGTACCACTATTAAAATCCTAATTTTAAAATAGTTCTGTTCAACTGTGTTTTAAAATACTGGGCAGAGATGGGGGGAGCGGTTCTGGGAGGGGAAGAGACTTAACCCTTAAGGAATAAAAAGCAGAGACCAAATTTCAAGAAGTTCATAAGGAAGAGTAATGTATAATCTTTGTTCATCAATCTCAAGTTAGCTTTATCAGTAACTGTCAGCTTCAAAAGGGAAAGTAATTAGAAAGTAGTAAGTTAGGAAAAATTTCTCTAGCTCAAACTCTGTGATCCTAAGTGTTATTAGGGAAACCCCAGAAACAAATATTTAGTACATAAAAGGGTTGTCGAATTGGTCATCATTTACTATGTATAGAAATAGATCTATCTCTCTAAATAGATCTATATGTGTATATTTGTATATGCATATATACACATATATATATGTATATATACTTATATACACATAGATAAATCATCTAGGGATTAAAAATCAGAAGGTAGTTTCTAAATTTTTCCTGGTCTAAGGTAACACAACAGGTGACAGAAAGTTAAGTCTTTTGAGAATGTTCAAAAGTGAACACCAAACTAAAGCCTTCTTTGCCTATTCTTAGAGAAATTTTTCCATAGAGTATATAGACCTAGTAGGTGTGTTCCTTAAGCCCACTTACCATTAAAACAAAACAAAACAATTCTTGCAATGGTAGTTTATGCCACAAGGTATACAAAAGCACTAGTATTGGCCTCCACAAAGGAACAAAAAGTGGCCAAGGTTTTACTAAATTTTTTTTCACCTGGGATTTTCTTTAGCAATCCTAATAGATTTTTCAGAAGTGATAAATACCTATGGAAATAAAGTGGGGTTAAATATAAAGCCTACTGTTCGTCATGAACAATGTCATTTCCTGGCAGAAAGGTTTAATTCAGCTCTGAAGAGAATGATTAAGACTTAAGAGGATAATTATCCTAAAAACTAGGATGAAGTCATTACCCTTTTTTTAAACAAATAAAGCTATCTCTATCTGCACCTAACAGAAATTATTAACTTCATAGGAAAGATCCTGTTAAGCTTAATCAAAGAATTCTAGGAAAGGGAAATTGAGACTAGGTCAAGCTAGAGGAAAGTTTCAATCCCTTCACATGTCCTCATTCATGGTCTTTTTTAGTATGTTCTCTATGTATAAGGTTAGGAAATCCCTGGAGAAGGAAAGGAGGAAAAAAGGATCAATGGGTATAGGGTTGTTCACACCTTTAGAAGGCACTAAAGGAGTCAATGAGAGCAATGTGAACTCAAATGAAATGACGTTCTTAGGAAAGGGCAAAGAGAGACTTCAATGTAAGGCTTTAAAAGGAAGGCTCTTCATGGTCTCTCAGATTCTTAGATCTACTCAGCCTTCAATTTCTTCTGAATTATCCACACATCTGGCTGGTGTGCATCCTAATATAGCTTCCCATCAAGTTAGGGAATTAGAATTAACTCTAATGATGCTCACTGGTTCAAAGAGCTGGCACTATTGGGTACCACTTCTGACCTAGAACTCTTCTCTGACCTAGAACTCTTCTCTGGTCTGGAACTCTTCTCTGATCTGGAACTCTTCTCTGACCTGAAACTCTTGGCTTTCTCCTTAGCATGGGCTGCATTATGGGTATTAAATGCACCCACATAAGCGAAGCTCTTGCCACAATCAGAACATAAGAATGGTCTTTCCTTCTTATGTACGTGGTGGTGTGCCCTCAAAGATGACTTATGGACAAAGCTCTTTTTACAGTCAGGACACTGGAAGGACTTCTTCCTATTGTGGATCTTGATGTGTCTACTTAGCTCACACTTCCGGGTGAAATTCTTACCACATTCATCACAGGAAAGTGTACTCCCTGCTTTGTGCAGACTCTCATGAACCTTCAGAGATTTTTCCTGAGAGAAGCTCTTGTCACACTCAGAACATTGGAAAGCCTTTTTTTGGTGAGATTTAGCATGTTCAGTGAGTTCACAACGCTGGGAAAAACATTTTTCACACTTGGGGCATGGGTATGACTTTTTCTGCTTATGTCTGTTCTGATGGACCTTCATGGTAGCCTTCCTATAGAAGCACTTGTTACATTCAGGACACTGGAAGGGCTTTTCACCACTGTGAACTCGGATGTGTTCGTTGAAGACATGCTGCAAGGCAAAGCTTTTGCCACACTCTTTACAAGTGAAAGGCTTCTCCCCACTGTGGTGACTCATGTGGGCCTTCAGACTTCTATTCTGGCGAAAGCTTTTATCACATTCAGGACACTGGAAAGTTTTATCTTTGTTGTGCACTTGAAGGTGTTGAGCGAGCTTAGATTGATGGGGGAAACATTTGCCACACTGACTGCAGGAGAACGGCTTTTGTCCAGTATGGATACGCATGTGGGCATTCAAGTTGGTTCTCCGAGTAAAGTTCTTACCACATTCACCACACTGGAAGGGCTTCTCCCCACTGTGGACCCTGAAGTGTTCTGTGAGCATGTACTGCATAAGGAATCTTTTGCCACACTCCCCACAGATGAAGGACTTCATCCCACTGTGTTCACTCTGATGGGCAATCATAATTCTCCTCAGTCGAAATTTTTTACCACATTCATAACACTGGTAAGGTTTTTCCCCAGTGTGGACTCTCATGTGTTCAGTGAGTTTAATTTGTTGGCTGAAGGATTTGTCACATTTTGTGCAAGGGAATGGTTTTTCCCCTTTGTGTAGGCTATAATGGAGTCTCATGGTGGTCTTCCTTTTGAAGGTCTTGTCACACTCAGGACACTTAAAAGGCCTATCCAGTCTATGAAGTCTTCTGACATGTTTGACGAGGCTTGCTTTGTGAGCAAAGTTCTTTTTACACTCACTGCAGCGGTAAGGATCAACCCCATTATGCAGGCTCACATGGATCTTCAGATTGACCTTCAGGCGGAAGCTCTTTCCACAGCTGGTACACTGGAAGGGCTTCTCCCCAGTATGAATCCTGATGTGTTCAATGAACTTGTACTGATAAGAAAAGCACTTGTTACACTCACCACAGATAAACAGTTTTTCTTCCTTATGCAGGCTTAGATGGGTTCGCAGGTAAGACTCCTGGCAGAAGCTTTTCCCACACTCCCTACAAGTGAAGACATTCCTCCTGCTGCGTGTCTGCTCAGGCCTCTTTAGGTTGGCCCTGTGCGGGCGAAGTTCTTATTCCTTTCAGATTCCCGAAGGAAATCATCCCCACCATGTTTACGTTGATGGGCATTCAAGTTCTTCTTCAAGCAGTAGCTCTTGCCACACTCACTGCATTCATAAATTCTTTTCTTGTTCCTTCTCTTTTTTTCATTCTTTCCTTTCCTTCTGTGGTCAGATTGCCTGCTGAATTTCTTCTTGCACTGTGGGCATTGGCATTGGTTGTCTGAGTGGCTCCTTTGGTGTTTTACCAAGTGACCTTTAAACTGGAAGCTTTTCCCACATACATGGCAGGGATAGAATCTATGCCCATTGGGGGCTTCCTGGCAATTGATGGTCCCCGGGTGTTCCTCTTCCACCCTCTCAGTGGATCCCTTAGTACTATTAGCTTCTGGAATTGAAGGCTCTCTGTTTTGGGAGGAGAGGTTTCTCAAGGTATTTCTTTGGGTAGGCCTGCAGAAAACATTTCCTTCATTAAGTGAAGATGCAGATAAGCCTTGGTTTTGAGGACTACCAAAATGGCATTTCTTTGCTTTTAGCTGCATCACTCCCTGGCTTCCTGAAAGAAAGAGAAAAAGTCCAGTTATTAATCATGTCTAATCTATAATGGGGTCAAAGAACCTTATAAGAAAATAAAAGTGGGAGTCCAACTCTGATCTGGGCTATCTTGAAAATCCAGGCATTGTTCTACCTCCCTATTCCTCACCCCCACTAAGTGTCCCTCCTTACGCTGTAACTTTGATCTGTGCAAAGTTCTTTCAGTAACATACCAAACATAAATAGGATGTACAGAACTTACTTAGGCTGAATGAAGACAATATAGTCAAGAACAAGGCAAAAACAAAGATATGAAATTTCCCTGTATCCAATACAGTTAAGACCAATTCCTTGAGTCCACAGATAAACCCAGTGACTGGACCACAGGTTGTAACAGAAACCTCAGAAACCATATCAGTGCTAATTTTTATAGGCTTGTGAAATATAATACAGAGATCATGTCATTGCATTCATCCCCCATTTCTACCACTGGGCTCAGGAAAGGCTTCCTGTAATAAATGCAAATAGAAACATTATTCAGAAAGGAGAAATTATGTTTCTCTGCTGCACTGAGGGAAGTCCCTGATATGAATTTAGCTCTGTTTCTCAAAGAGCTCTTTCATTGTGCTATATGGGCAAGCAAGCACACAATATGATCTTTATTTCCATGCTAAAAACAACTTAAAAGAGAGAAATGAAAAGACAATTGGTGTCTGCTTCCAAGTTGTACTGATTCAAGGCAAGGTGTTCTGCCTTTGGCTTAATCTAGCATAACTCACTAACTGCATGCAATGGAAGGACATAACCTAGGAAAGGAAATCAACCATGACTTGACTCAAATGTCTCTTCTTTGAGAACTGTAGTCTTGAGGAGATGGAACCAAGATGGGAGAATACAGGCAGCAACTCAGCTAAATTCTTATAACATTCCCCTCCAAACAACTTTAAAATAATTCCTCAAATCAAATTAACAACTTCAACAAAGTTTCAGGATATAAAATAAACCTACATAAATCAGCATTTCTATATTACTACAAAGTCCAGCAGCAAGAGATAGGAAGAGAAATTCCATTTAAAATAATTGCAGACAATATGAAATACTTGGGAGTCTACCTGCCAAAACAAACTCAGGAACTGTATGAACACATTTATAAAATACTTCACACAAATAAGGTCAGATCTAAACAACTGGAGAAATGGTAATTGCTCATGAGTAGACAAGCCAATATAATAAAAATGGAGGTGGACAACATTTTTCATTATAAGTTCTTTGGAATTGTCTTGGATCATTGTATTGCTGAGAATAGCTAAATCATTCATAGTTGATCACAGCACAATATTACTGTTACATATACAATGTTCTCCCAGTTCTGCTCTGTTTACTGAATTGAGTAGTAAAGAACTAAAAACAAAAAAAAAATGCCTATCAGCTGGGGAAACGGATAAACAAATTGTGATATATGAACATTATGGAATATTCTAGTGCTGTAAGAAATGATGAATATGAAGAATACAGAGGAGTGTGACAGGACTTCAGTAGAAACAGGAAAACAACACACAAAACTACAATGTAAGTGGAAAGGGGAAAAAAATACAAAAATAAACAACCCTGAAATTGAACATTGTATTTACCAGGCTTGGCAATGAAATATAGAGAAAATTTCCCTCTTCAATGCAAATGGTGTGGAACATTAAAGATACTGTCTGACTCCTTTAAGATCTTGATTAGTTTTACTGAAGTGCTTTCTTTTTCTTTTTTAATCTTTTGCCACAAGGTCTTAATCCCTTCCCACTTACCAGGGACAGACTGCTGTTTCTCAGTGCTGTCAGAGTTATGTAGAGCAGCAGTGCTAGATTGGATCGTTCTCACATTTGTCTCCAAATTTGCCAGACTCTTGAAGACTGGCTCCTTTCCTTGTTCAATATGGGATATCAAGTCTGGTTTGGGAATAGTATAATCTATGCAGAGAGAACAAAGAGGCAGATATTACATTTTGTAAGGGCTCAGTAGTGAGACAATTTCTCAGAAACCACATTTCTCTAAGTTCATTACACTTAAGTAAACTTAAAGGTAGCTAAGGCAGTGCAGTGGATAGAGTGCTAGACCTCGAGTCAGGAAGACCTGAGCTCAAATCCAGCTTGATACCCTTATGCCATTTACCTTGTGTCTGCTTTAGTTTTCTAATCTGCAAGATAGGGATAATAATAGCATCCACTTCTAAGGGTTGATGAGAGGATAAAATGAAATATCATAAAGTGCTATCTAAATGCTAACTATTATTATTATTATTACTTACTTACAAACAATAGGAATAGATGTAGAAAAAATGGACAACCTTGGGATGGATGAGAACAAATATGTACAAAATCAGAATAGGAGGGGTTTTGTTTTGTTTTGTTTTAGCAAAGAAACTCATCTATCCAAATTGATAACAATAAATGGAAATCAGACAAAATAGACATAGAAGAATATGTGTGTGTGGGTATGTGTGTGTACACATACCCACACACACATATCTCAGATCATACAGAATGAAGAAGTTCTCCCATTGGGAATGACATAACCCAACTGAGTGAGACTCTTAGATCTCAATCATTAGGAAGTTCCCCGTAGGAGAGAAGTTATTGCTGAAGAGCTAATGATGTCATTAGTTCTAGCCCAAGATGTCTCTGACACAGACTTGCATATGAGTATGTTGAGTGTGCCCAGGCACATCCTAATGTGCAGCTGCCCTCTCACCATGATGCTCTGGATCTGGAGCCTTCTAAAAGTTAGGAGAGCACTCCCAGTCTCTGAGGGCTTTTGGATGCCAGTCACCATCACTGATGCTCCTACTTCCTTCTCTACTTCCCACTTATTCCTACCCCCCTACTTCTCCAAGGTTCTAGTGTGGAAAGAAGAAGGAGACATATCCAGTGACTTGGTCATCTTGTATGTCTGAAGCCCTCTCAACAATCAACTTCTATACTCTGCACATCATTGCTTACCCTGTTTTGGTCCTGCTTCTCTTGGTGAAGCTCAGGTTCTGAGTTAGGGACAACGTCTGGGTCAGGAGGAAGCTTTGCATTCCTTCTTACCCTCCTAAAAGACTTCCTACTCCTACCCAGGGATGTCAGGTGGTTGCAGGTAGGTCAGGGAAAAATTCACTAGACATTTTTCCCCCTTTGACTCCTCTGATCATTTTGTTTTCCATGGTTTAGTTCATAATACATGGCCCTAAGGCTTCAGTTAGCACAGATGAGCAAGGGGTAAAAATCCTAACATCTTAAAGGTCTGCACCTTTCGTCCTGTGTGCTTAAATTTCATTGCTGCTCTCTTTGGCAAAACAGGGACTAAGGATGCAGGGTCCAGGTGGAAAGATGCTTTTGTAGGCTAATGAATATAAAGCTGAAAAGGCTGTTAGGGTAAGAGTAAGAATTTGATATTTTTTTTTAAAAGGCCCTTTGCAAAGTTCATATTTTTAAAGTAAAATTTAATTTTAAAACTTAAGTTTAGTTAATAAGTATGCTTAATAAAATAATGTTCTACATGACTGAGAATTCAATAAATGTTTGCCTTTCAAACTTTTCAAAAAATTCTCTGGGGTTACACCCTAATGAAGTGTGCCACATACACTAATCCTGTTAGTTTGGATTCAGGAGCCTACCTCCAATGAACCACTTGTACAAGAGTAATTTAGATTTTAGCTGAATAGTACAGCTAATAATAGATGATTACGATAATTTCAACCTTAAGTGCCAACTATAAATGGTACACTAGATTTAAGAACTTATAAGCAGAAAGGAATAATGAAGGGTGAAATAAGAAGTTCCCAGAAAAGGGCCTAACAAATGAATGTTACTCAAGCTAAGTATCTGAGGTAGAGGTGGAGAGGATATAAAAGAGCTGGCAGGATTCTGATCTGTCCTATTTGGACTGAGAAAAAAAAAAGGCTAAAAAAAGGATCTTCTCCCCTCCCCCCCCAAAAAAAAGGAAAGAGAAAATCACAATTACTTTCAACTAAAGGAACCTGGGATAGGCCAATATACATGAGGTGGGGAATAGAATCTGGTTGGGGAAGAGACTAGAATCAAATGAACATAAACAAAATTAAGCACAGAGACCAAGTACTGACCTCAGAAGGTAGGAAAAATCAAAACCAGAAATGGGGTATTATAAAATCAGTACAAAAGAATTAAATTTAAAAAAGCACAAACTTAAAAATTACAAACTTAGTTGTAAATGGGTTAAACTCCCTGGGAAATGAAAGAAAATAAAATCTAACAATTTGTCATATATAAAAAACACTTCTTCAAAAATTTAGACAGAGGGGGCAGGTAGGTGGTACAGTAGATACAGCACCGGCCCTGAAGTCAGGAAGACCTGAGTTCAAATCTGGCCTCAGACCAAACATTTGACACTTACTAGCTGTGTGACCCTGGGCAAGTCACTTAACCCTAATTGCCTAAAAAAATTTTTTTTAAATTTAGACAGAGGAAAAATGAAGGGCTAGAAACTTTTTTTTTTACTATGCATTGAGTCCCCCCTCAAAAATCAGAAGTTTTATTCATGATTTCAATTAAGATAAAAACACCATGTCAAGACAGAGAAAAATAAAAATAACTTTCTGCTTATAAGCTTATCAGGTGATGAGCAATAGCATTAAGAGCACTGAATCTGGAGTCAGAGGAACGCAGTTCAAATTCTACCTCTAATAAAACCCATGTGATCATAGGCAAGTTAAGTTACTTAACCTCTATTGACTATAGCTCCCTCATTTGTAAAATAAGAAGTTTGGACTAGATTGCTTCTGAGGTCCCTTTCAGTTACAGATCTATGTTGCTGTGATCTGCAACTCACCTAAGCTCATATAGGAAAATCTAACTAAATTTTAAAATATGATAGAAATTAACATGATAAATGTAGAAGACTTCAATGTTTTCAAAGCTGGAAAAAACAAACAGTAAAAGGAAAATAGCTTGAATAGACTTTTATTGGAAAGACATAGAATCATCCAAATAAGAACTATAGAGAATATATACATTTTTCAGTATCACAAGGTATGTTTACAAAAACTCATCATGTTATAGGACACAAAGAAATAATTGATAAATATTAAAAAGAAAAATGTCAAACACATTTCTAACAAACCATAATGTAACATAAGTTGCCATTAATATATGAATACAAGGAAAATAAACAAAATAATAAGAATTTTCTACATACTCTGCCTCCATTTCTTCTCCTCTCCTTCATTCCACAACTCTTTCCAATTTGAATTCTGACCTCATCACTCAAGAGAAACTGTTTGACCCAAAATTACTAATAATATCTTAATTCCTAAATCTCATGGTCATTTTTAAAGTTCTCAATCTTCTTGACCTATCTACAGTATTTGACACTGTTGAACATCTCCTGGATATTCTCTCCTCTCTGGGTTTTCTGCTCCCTCCTGGTTTTCCTCTTATCTATCTAACTTCTCCTCATTCTCCTTTGCTGGTTTTTCATCTATATTATGCCCCCTAATTGGACATTCCTGAGTCTTATTATAGGTCCTCTACTTACATCTACATACACATTCTCTCTGTATGTAACTTTATCAGCTCCCGGAAGTTAAATGATCATCTCTAGGCTGATGACATTTAATTATGTCCAGCCCCATCTCTTCCCTGAGTTTTACTCCTATTGGACATCTTCTAAATCAGCATATCCAAAATAAAACTCATTATCTTCTCTAGTAAACTCATTACTTCCAAACTTCCCTATTTCTGTCAAAGATACCATTATTCTTCTGGCTACCAGGTTCATAATCTTAGTATTAACCTCAACCCCTCACTTTCTCTCACACAAAATATCAAATCAGTTGCCAAATCTTGTCATTTCTGCCCTTCAACACTTCTTACATCTGACCCCTTCTCTCTACATATATGATTACTTCCTTAGTTGAGGCCCTCATCAACTCCTTTATTTTTTTGTGTTTTGTCTTTTTTGTCAGGCAATTGGAGTTAAGTGACTTGCCCAGAGTCACACAACTAGTGAGTATTATACGTCTGAGGCCAGATTTAAACTCAGGTCCTCCTGACTCCAAGGCAGGAGTTCTATCCACTGTGCCACCTAGCTGCCCCAAAATTTTTTGGGGGGCTAGGCAGTGGGGTTAAGTGACTTGCCCAGGGTCACACAGCTAATAAGTGTCAAGTGTCTGAGGCTGAATTTGAATTCAGGTCCTCCTGACTCCAAGGCGGGTGCTCTATGCACTGCGCCACCTAGCTGCCCCAAAATCTAAGCATTCTTTACTTTTTTTTTTTTTTGGTGAGGCAATTGGGGTTGAGTGACTTGCCCAGGCTCACACAGCTAGTGTCAAATGTCTGGTCTGAGACCAAATTTGAACTCAGGTCCTCCTGACTCCAGGGCTGGTACTCTATCCACAGTGCCACTTAGCTGCCCCCCTCATCAACTCTTACTTAGATTTTTGCAACAGCCTTCTAATTGATCAGTTCTCAAGTGTATACCCACTTGAGTTTGTCCTCCATACAGTTACCAAAATAATTTTGCTACAGTGTAGATCTGGCCACATCATTCCCTCCTCAATAATCTCCAGTGGCTCCTTATTTCTTCTAGGGATTCGGGAGGACCTGAGTTCAAATCCGGCCTCAGATACATAATACTTATTAGCTGTATGACCCTGGGCAAGTCACTTAACCCCATTGCCTCACCAAAACCCCCCCCCCAAAAACCAAACAAACAAACAAACAAAAACGTATGCTTCAATCTGCATTCAGACATAATCAGTTCTTGCTCTGGGGATGGATAGCATTTTTCATCATAAGTCCTTCAGAGTTGTCTTGGATAGTTGTATTGCTGAGAATAACTGAGTCATTCATAGCTGATCATCTTACAATATTGCTGTTACTTTGTACATAACGCATTTCACTTTGCATCAGCTCATTTAAGTCCAGGTTTTTCTGAGAGTATCCTGCTCATCATTTCTTATAGCACAATAGTATTCCATCATAATCACATTCCACAATTTGTTCAGCCATTCCCCTATTAATGGTCATCCTCTCAATTTCCAATTCTTGGCTAACAGGAAAGAGCTGCTATAAATATTGTGTGTGTGTGTGTGTGTGTGTGTGTGTGTGTGTGTGTGTGTGTGTATGTGTATCTCCTTTTCCTTTTTGTTTTTTATCTCTTTCGGGATACTGACCTAATAGTGGTATTGCTAGGTCAAAGGATATGCATGGTTTTATAGCCCTTTCAGCATAGTTCCAAATTGCTCTACGGAATGGTTGAATCAGTTCACAACTCCAGGAACAGTACATTAATGTCTCATTTTCCCCACATTCCCTCTAACATTTGTCATTTTCCTTTTCTCTCCTATTAGCTGATCCATAGGTATGAGGTTGTACCTCCTTCCTATTCCCCCACATTTATTCTATCCTCCCTGTCCTTTTACCCTGTCCTTCCTCGAGAGTGTTTTGCTTCTACCACCCCCCTCCCCCAAACTGCCCTCCCTTATATCACCTCCCCTTCTCTTGTCCCATTCTCCTCTTACTTGCCTGTAGGGTAAGATGGATTTCTATACCCAACTGAGTGTGTAAGTTATTCCCTTGGATCCAATTCTAATGAGAGTAAAGTTCACTCACTCTCCCTCTCCTTCCCCCTATTCCCCTCTACTGTAAAAGCTTTTTCTTGCCTATTTTATGGGAGATAATTTGCCCCATTCTACCTCTCCCTTTCCCTTTCTCCTAGTAGATTCTTCTCTCATCCCTTAATTTTATTTTTTTAGATATCATCCTTTCATATTCAATTCACACCTGTGCCCTCATAAAAACTTTCTCATTATTGGGGCAGTTAGAAGGAGAGAAAGTTCTTATGAGTTACAAGTATCATCTTCCCATGTAGGAATGTAAACAGTTTAACCTTATTAAGTCCCTTATGATTTCACTTTCCTGTTTACATTTTTATGCTTCTCTTTCTTTTTGCATAGATATAGTTTTCCTCTTATTGGTTTTCTTTTTTTAATAAATAATTTATTTATTTTAGTTTTCAACATCCACTTCCATAAGATTTTAGGTTTTACATTTTCTCTCTCTCCCTTTCTTCATCCCTCCCCAAGACAGCGTTTGCAATATGATATGGGCTCTACTTACACATTCATATTAAACATATTTTCACATTAGTTGTGATATAAAGAAGAATTAGAACTAGTGAGAGGAACCAGAAGAATGAAGCAATAAAACAACAAAAGAAAAGTAGAGTAAATAGTATGCTTCCATCTGCATTCATACTCCTAAGTGTGGATAGCATTTTCCATCATGAGTCTTTTGGAGTTGTCTTAGATCCTTGCATTGCTGAGAAGAGCTAAGTCTATCAAAGTCAGTCATCCCACAGTGTGGCTGTTACCGCATATAATGTTCTCCTGATTCTGCTCATTTCACTCAGCATGAGTTCATATAAGTCTTTCCAGGTTCCAATTCTACTTTCTAAGGAGTTTTTTTCTTCAGTGAACTTCTGTGCCTCTTTGGCCAATTCTACTTTTTAAGGCATTCTTCTCTTCATTAGCTTTTTGTACCTCTTTTACTATTTGGCCTAGTCTGTTTTTTAAGGTGTTATTTTCTTCAGTATTTTTTTGTGTCTTCTTTACCAAGCTGTTGACTTTTTTTTTCATGATTTTCTTGCACCACTCTCATTTCTCTTCCCAATTTTTCCTCTACCTCTCCTATTTGATTTTCAAAATCCTTTTTGAGTACTTCCATGAGGCCTGAGATCAAATCATATCTTTCTTGGAGGCTTTGGATTTAGGATGTAGCTGACTTTGTTATCATCTTCTGAGTGTGTTTTGATCTCCCTTGTCACCACAGTAATTTCCTATAGTCAGATTTTTTCTGTTGTTTGCTCATTTTCCAAGCCTATCTCTTGACTTTTAACTCTTTGTTAAGGTAAGGTTCTGCTTCCAGGGTGGAGAGCATACTATTCCAAACTCCTAGGGTTTTGTGCAGCTTTTCCAGAGATATTTCCAGGGACCTGTGAGTTTTCAGTTCTTCTAAGGTGGTATGATCTAAGGAGAGGTGTGTTTACTACTCTTCTGGCCTACGCTCTGGTCTCTGAGTGACCACAAGCACTCTTTTCTGCCCTAGAACTGTGGCAAGAGTCCCTGCTCCACTGCAGCTACAAGCTCTTGTGTACTACAGCTCCTTCCCTCACCCGGGGACTGCCACCCAGGATTGTGACCTGGATCCAAGTATGGGCAAAGCCACAGAGTCCTGCCTTGTTGCTAGCAAAGAGACCCCTGTAATCTTCTTCTGACCAGTTTTTAGACCTCTTACTGTCTGTGGGCTGAGAGCTCCAGAAGGAGTTGCTTGCCACTGCTGATTCAGAGGCTCCCAAGGACTGCTCCCGGTTTGCTGGGGCTGTGGGGTTAGACTCCACAGAAATAGATCTCCAGTGATGCCTAGTTGAAGCCTAGTGGGCTTCACGTCTCAGCTTATTGGTGCTTGCCCAAGCTCAGGGACCCTCAGTTCCAAAAGGTGAGTGCAAAGGATTGTTGTTAGGCCAAGCTCAGGGCACAGCTTGCTTGCTGGGCCTTAGCTCTGGAAAACAGGGTGTCTCCTATTAGTATTTTGCAACAATTTTCTAAGAGGCAGTGAGAGGGATCTTTATGAATTATTTAGTGGCCTCTGGTCTCTATTTCAGTTTGACACTATTGATTTAATCCATTTTTACCTCTTTCTCTGCTGTATTGTTCCCTGGTTTGGGTATTAGTACTGCATTTATGTCTTAAAAGGGATTTGGTAGATAAAGAAAGTGGAATTATTTTCCCATTATTAAAGTATTTGTCTGATAATATTAAAAGGCAGAAGAACTCATTTTATGGTTCGACTTTCATAAGTTTTTAAAAGATTCTTGGGGCAGCTAGGTGGCGCAGTATTTAGAGCACTGGCTCTGGAGTCAGGAGGACAGCCTTAGACACATAACGCTTACTATCTGTGTGACTCTGGGCAAGTCACTTAACCCCAATTGCCTCATACAAAAAAAAATATTTTTACATTAGGTACAGGATTTAGGTATGGCTAGAGATAGCAAATGGTATATAAAATGAAATTCTCTGAAGTTTCAAGATTGAAGAACCAAATTTAAGTGATTGTACTCAATTATATTAAGTCAGAATTATCTAGGAACCTCTAGATTTGGAACCAGAAAAGCAGAGCCCCCTTTACAGTTGTCCTGAGAATAAAGTCTATTGTCCAAGAAAAGATATCTAGGGACCAGATAACTACATGAGACATCTGGGACTGAAAATGTGCTGCTTAAATGGATATTGAGAATGGGTCACTAGGATATGAGGAGACTTGATGTTAATTAATACTAGGAATAACTATTGTATTGCCTTGGTCTTTTGTTTTAAGATGTTTATATTTAAGTTTTCTTGGTTTTACTGGTGATATGTAAATCTCCCTTCTCAAAATTAGTCTATTGTGAGCGCTCTAAGTAGTTTGATCTCTAATGTGACATTAATATGACCTGACAATGTAATTATACAATTACGGGAACTGTGAGAAAACCTTATTGCATTGTTTGAAACTAGCCCTGTGTGTCTGGGAAACTGGACCATCGCTATGTGCTATTTAGAGACCTTTAACTAGGGATGCTAACCAGAAACTCAGATCTAAAGATTAATGCAGGGAGCTTTCTCACAATTGTACATCTCAAACTAAAGGCCCCTACCAGGTCCTTCTGACTACTCTCACAGCTGCCAAACTTGTGGGTGTGGACTCCTGGATCATCTGAAGAAAGCCCCTGCTCCTGAGTGGATGGCAAAACCCTCCAGTGATCTCAAGGTTCATGTAGTATAAAGTCAGAAGCAGTCAACATCCAGATAAGACAGTTGTTCCAAGATTCCAGATGAGGGCTGAGTATGCCGACCTAGTTTTTTTTTCCCTCTTCTCTTTTGTTATGTGCCCAGCCACCAAAGCCCTAATTCAAGCATGTGTTGACATTTTCCCTCTCTACATTCTTGGCCTCCCTTTCTTTTCTGCTTGCAAGAAAACAATGGCTTGGCAAGACCTATTCAACTCACAACTGCCCTGGTCCAACTGGCCTCTCCTGGCATCTTGGCTTATACCTGCCTCTCCTTTATGGTCAGAAGGGTAGGGATTCTTTCAGAGCCCCTCCCTTTGGCCAAAAGAGGGAAATGTCAAGATACCAATAGGAGACACCCTGTTTTCCCGAGCTAAGGCCCAGCAAGCAAGCTGTGCCCTGAGCTTGGCCTAACAACAATCCTTTGCACTCACCTTTTGGAACTGATGGTCCCTGAGCTTGGGCAAGCACCGACAGGCTGAGACACAAAGCCCTGCTACGAATGGACTTTTTGTCACTAGACAACCTTGTTTCACTGTTGCTGTTGTGCCTCACCACTGTTGCTACACTACACTGTTTGACTCTGTCTAGCCACAAGTATATAAATCAAGGCTCAGCCTCACTGCTCGGGTTCCCCCCAGGAGCTAATACTTGGCCTGGCTACTTCCTGACAAGCTTAGTATGATGATCAAATTATATAGGTGAGATCCCATTGAAAACTATGAATTACAATTAATATAAATAATATTATAATAATATAAATAATATTAATATAAAGTATGATTTTATCATCATTTTTTGATAATTTCAAGAAAACAAATATTTCATTTCCATGTGTCAGTCCACGTCCCCGGTTTGGCTAGAAACACAATGAGTACGCATCATTTCTCTGCATAGACTAGAAGCTCCTTGAGAGGACAGACAATGGCTAATTCATCTTTGTATACTCCACAACAACCAGTATTGTACCTTACACATAGTTAATACTCAAAATGTTTGCTAAATGAGCTAGCTAGCAGTATTTGATTCCATAAGAATCACTCTCAAAGTGCATAATGAACCCTTCTTACCCAAGGAGATCAAGGTTTCATAATTAGTCCTCATCACGTGCTTGTAAAGTTCTTTCTGGGACCATTCCAGTTTCTTCCACTCATTCTTTGAGAAATACACAGCCACATCATCAAATGTCACAGACATCTGGAATCACAAACACGATAATAAGTAACATTCACATAGCACTTATGTTCCAGACACTGTGCTAAATGTTTTGCAATGATCTCATTTGATTCTCACAACGACCCTGAAGAGGTAGGTGCTATTATTATCCCTATTTTACAGACAGGGAAAGAGGCAAACAAAGGTTAAGTGACTTATCTAAGGTTACTCAGCCAGGAAGTGTCTGAGTCACATTTGAACTGAGGTCTTCCTGACTCTAGGCCCAACACTCTAACCATGCACTACCTAGTTACCTCTTCTTTTCATGGTACGTTTTTAAAAGACCAATCAGGACCACCCCTATCAGAAAAGGTATCACAAAGCAGTTTCTTCTCATTATATCTATTTTAGCATCTTTACTTGATTTTAGCATTCCAGCATACCACTTGAGAAGATACATCTAACTAAGACATCTGGGGATCTTTTTCTAATTGCAACAAAAACCAGAACAGATTCTCATTCTCTCTCTCCCTCTCCCTCTCCCCAACACACATACACACAGTCAAAAAGGTCCGGTAGGTGACTAAAAAATAGACCTATTGGTATTTAGAGCCTTAGCAGAAGAAAATTAGAAAAATTAAATTATCTCATCAGAACCACAACAGCTCCTCACCACTAAGTGATAAAATCTCTATGGGCATTTAATAAATGCTCATTGATTGATTGATTCAGGCCCAAGATAGTCCTCTGCTCCATCTTCCTTTGCCTCTACCATATTTTAAAATTATTTATGAAGGCCTTTCCTTTAAAAAACAGAGTACTATATTTTCAAATTACATTTTATGCATACTTCTCAGTGTTTATTTCCATTATTTGACATAAGCATTCCAGGGGAACACCTAGAGAATACATCTTTCAAGAAAGCATGGGACTTTTTCTAATTGCAACCAAAATGTTGGCAGCAAGTACTGATAGCAAAGCAGAGTCATGCTGCCCAAAATAGGACTCAGGAGGATTGACAGAAACACAGGCCCCTTAGTGTGTAAGGACTTGGCTGAAGAGTACTAGAGGTACAGTGATCTCAGCAGGACCACCACACATTCACAGTGCTAAGGGACAGTCATAATAAAGAGGTATGGTTTCAAAATATTCATCTTCTTAGAGCTCATTAATGTGTTTCTTATATGTAAAACATGCCTAGTAACTTACCTGTAAAGATATGATCAATCATCATTAATCCGTCCTCAAAGAAGAGGAAAATGAATAAGAAATCCAACATTTGCCGAGAAAAAAATTAACCAGTTTGGAAGAAATGGAATATATTTGCATGCCTAATGTGAAACTAGTTCCAGGTTAAACACACAGACACACACACACACACAGACACACACACACACACACACACACACACACACACACCCTAAAAAAACCAGCCCTTTCAGGATATGAAAATAGTAAGGTAGGCCAGAGAGAGGGAAATCTCAGCCAGTTTACCATTTGTGAAATGGGAATGAGGGGAAGGCTGGTAGGAGAGGCAGAACTCCTGTCAAAAAGGAAAACAGGATTAATTGGTAAGATTGTTAAGTAAGCAATTTGTGTAGTGCACAAAGATGCTTGTATTTTCCTATCTAAAGTATTATTAGTAACTGCAAATGGTTGCTTCTAAGACTGAAACCTCTGGTAGGATAAGTTTAAGCTTTCCAAGACCAGAATTTCTGTCAAAATAGTCTTCCTTATCATTGAATGGAATAATATATGTAAAGAAACTAATAAACTTTAAGGCATTAAATGGATGTTAGCTATTATCCTCATTCCCTATAAAGAGAAATTTGGCCCTACCATGAGCTTTGCCCCCAAAAACTGAGCTAAAAGAGGGCTCCCCTCTTCTGGGCCTGAGTTTCACAACTCCCAGAACAGGCTTCATGTTTGTTGTGCGGATTGTCAAGATGCACCCACACACCATGACAAGGCAACGTCCCTCAAATTGCCCTTTTTTCCCAGTCTCCAAAGCCGTAGGCTACCCTCATTCATCTATGCCTGAGCAAAGCTAGAGCAGGGGTCTCTCCCGGACCCCAGTCTCTTCCTCACTGCGAGTATCCTGGGGAGGTGGGGGTTGTGGGGAGAGATCTCTCACCTTAACAGGAGTCGCCTTGGCCATGGTTTTTCGTCTGCCTCCCGAGTCAGAGGACGCTGCAGCTTCTCCCCCCACTCCTCCCCTCCCTCTAAGACTGGGCAGAGAAGAATCGGACAGTCTGGACCCTTCGCCGCCCACGCTCTCTCCTCCCTCCTGCAATGCGGTCGGCTGTCAGCGGGGAGGGCGCGGAATCCGGAGCCCCAGAGGCTGGTGACGGTGCCGGGTGCCAAGGAGGAGTCGAACTGTTGGCCGGCCCGCGCTCAGGCCCCTGGGCTGGGCTGCGCTGCTCCCGCTCTCGAAATCTCCTGCCACCCAGCTCTGGCTCTGGCTCCCGCTTGAGCTCGGGCTCTGCCTGAGTCCTCAGCACCTGCACCCGGACTCAAATCTCAGTTGTCTCCTACTGCCCACGACAGCTGTTGCTGGGCCCACGCGGTGCATCCTGGGACTCTTGCTCCTTTCCCACCCAATCCCAACTGACCTCCCTGGAAGCAGCTACTTGTTGGGAACTCTTGTCAAACAGTGCCTCTGGGCTAGAAGAGTTAAAAAAGGGGGCGTTGGTGGCTTGCTGGACCAGGCTACCTACCACAACAGCTGCATCTCATGCCTAAGCAAAACAACAGGTTCTCATTGTTATCTTTCCTCTCTCTCCTGAAATCTTTGCAGTCTGGCTTTCAGTCTCACCACTCAAATGAAACTACTCTCTCCAAAGGTGCAAAACCTGATGGCCTTTTCTCAAGTTTCATCCTTCTCAATCTTCTCTTCTGTTTTTTTTCTTTCTTTTTTTTCTTTTTTCTTTTTTTTTGGCTGCTGACCATATTTTCTTCTTGAATGCTCTGTCCTCCTGGGGTTTTCTGGACTGTTTTCTCCTGGCTCCCCTACTACCTGTCTAACTGGTCTTCCTCACTGTTCTTTGCTATCTCATCATTCCCGTCACTGGACCCCTTAAGACAGAATCATCCTTCCATTATCCCAAGTTCATAATCTCAGCATTAGCCTGGACTCCTCACTCTCCCTTACTTCACATATTTAATCACTTGTCAAATCTTGCAATTTCTGCTTTTACATCTCTCACATCTACCTCCTTCTCTCCATTCACATTAGCTACCTTAGTTCAAGCCCTCATGATCTTATACCTAGATCATTACAATAGCCTCCAAATTGGTCTCTGTGTCTCAAAGTCTTGTCATTCCACTCTATGCTACCCACTGCTGCCAAAGTAATTTTCCTAGAATTTTTACAACTAGTCCCTCTGATAAGGGCCTCATTTCTAAAATATATTGAGAATTAAGTCAAATTTATAAAAATACAAGTCATTTTCCAATTGATAAATGGTCAAAGGATATGTTCAGGCAGTTCTCAGATGAAGAAATTAAAGCCATCTATAGTCATATGAAAAATGCTCTAAATCACTATTGATTAGAGAAATACAAATCAAAACAACTCTGAGGTACGACATCACACCTATCAGATTGGCCAAGATGACAAAACAAGAAAATGATAAATGTTGGAGAAGACGTGGAAAAATTGGAACACTAATACATTGTTGGTGGAGTTGTGAAATAATCTAAACATTTTGGAGAGCAATTTGGAACTATGCCCAAAGGGCTATAGAAATGTGCATACCCTTTGACCCAGCAATAGTACTTCTAGAGCTATATCCCAAAGAGATCATACAAATGGGAAAAAGACCCACATGTACAAAAACATTAATAGCAGCTCTTTTTGTGGTGGCAAAGAATTGGAAATTGAGAGGATGCCCATCAATTGGGGAATGACTGAACAAGTTGTGGTATATGAATGTAATGGAATACTACTGTGCTATAAGAAATGATGAACAGGCTAACTTTAAGCCTTTAAGACACACAGACCAATTTGGAGGCTATTGTAATAATCTGGATAAGAGGTCATGAGAATGTTGTACACAATAACAGCCACGTTATGCGATGACTAATATTGATAAACTTAACCCTTCCCAGCAATACAAGGATCTAAGACATCGCCAAATGCTTTGTGATGGAAAATGCTATCCACGTCCAAAGAAAGAACTATGAAGTTTGAATGCAGATCAAAGCATACTATTTGCTATTTTTTTTTCTGTTGACTTTGTTTCCTCTTTCTGGTGGTTCCTCCTATTGGTTCTAATTCTTACAACATCACTAATGTGAAAATATGTTTAATAGGAATGTATATGTATAGCCTATATCAGACTGTGCGCCGTCTTGGGGAGGATAGTGGGGAGGAAGGGGGAGAAAAATTTTAAACTCAAAAGCATATGGAAGTGATTGCTGATAAATCAAAATAAATTAATTTAAAAAAAACCCAAAAAAGTAATTTTCCTTCAACATAGATCCAGCCTTGAGATGCTCCTCCTCAACCAATTCTTACTACCTCTGGGATAAAAAATAAACTTTTCTATTTATCTTTTAAAGACCTAATCTCAACCTATCTTTTCAGTTTCAATGGACATTGCTCCCCCTCTGTTTCTTTGAGCCAGTCTCTCTGTTTTTCGAATGTGGCTCTCCATCCCTCATCTCTGCACTTTTGCACTGGCTGCACAACATGCCTGGAATGCATTCCCTCTAGCTCCTTTCTTCCTCTACAATGTAGCTTAAGCATTATTTCTGGCATGAAGCATTTCCTGATCTCTCCCCTACCACCTGCTTGTGCCTTGTATTATATGGTGCTTCCCACTAATCCTATTTAATGATTGTGTATATATTTGTATTTACTTTATATTTACACTGTATTTATTTAAATGCTTGTTGATTCCCCCATTAGAACATAAACTCCTTGAGAGTAGGGACTGCTTCATTATTCATTCTTATATCCCCACCCCTAGCACTACTGCCTAGCACAATCAGTTCAGTAGTTTCAGTTGTGTCTAACTCTTTTGTGACCTCATTTGGAGTTCTCTTGGCCAAGATACTGGACTGGTTTGACATTTCCTTCACTAGCTCATTTTGCAGATGAGGAAACAGAGACAAACAGGGTTAAGTGACTTGCCCAGAGTCACATGGTTAGTGTCTGAGGTCAGATTTGAACTCAGAAAAATGAGTCTTCCTGACTCCAGACCTGGCCCTCTATCCACTGTGCCATCTAGCTGCCCTGGCTAGCACCTAGCAGGTACTCAATGAATACTTGTTGACAATTGATTGAGACCTTGGAGGAGTGTGCAAAAATGGGTCTTAAGTGAACTGTGACTGTTGTCTGGCTTTAGGGAAATGCTTCACAACTTGCAGTTGTAAAGTATTCTTTGACACTTGGTAAAAAGTATTTCCAAAGATCATTGATTCTATGATTAAGATTAAAAAACCTTCTCATTCCACCAGGCTTTTTCCACCTCTTCCTGTAAATCCTTCACATGGGAGCCACTCAACATGATGGGTCTTATCTTTTTCATCTCCTGATATTGAATAGGTAGCAGTGGAGTCCTTGGGCCTGCCATCATTTGTCCTTAACTCTCTGGAGATGTTTCTACCCCACTTCATAAATATCTTTGATAACATTATATGTACCCACTTTTCCTACACACTTCTTTACTGACAATACTCAGTAGATTACTCAATCCCCAAGCTTCTCACCATTGCTCTTTGGGTGATTGACAACTTACTTTGGAAACTGTGGTATTTAATAATTCACAGCCATATCACATCACTAGAAGAATAGTAGTGTTAAAAGATGCCTATGTTTTAGGGAGCAACTTGGGGTACTTAAATCATATTGATTTATATACAGGAATAAATTTCTTTTCTTCCTTAACATTCTCAATTTCAACAACTGGTGTGCATAGGATGCTAAAATCTTCATAGGATATTCTTCATAGGATTACAGACTTGGCAGGAACCTCAAGAGATCATTTTGGCTTTCCCTCTACATCTCAGGAAGAGAGAACTTAAGTTTTCAAACAGGGACAGATGTCTCATTTTTAAAAATCTTCACAGAAATTTCTAGAGCTTTCCTAGGGTTCTGAGTATTAATGAATAGGTGGGAGTAGATAGTCTCTCGGATTGCTTCTAGCTCAATAATTTGCTGACCCAGATCAACTACCTTGAATGCCAAGAAATCCCTACTTTTGCCTAATCTAAATATCTCCTATTATAGGTACATTATCTTTCATTCTATTCCCCTGTACATTCTTCTTATGAACTAATTCTACTTTAAAATACTAAGAATTTTATCTGCAGTTCTGAGTCATAGAAAGAAACATGCTGAAAAACTCTTTAACGATATAAAAATACTTTTGGAGATAACGGAAATAATTTCAGCTCCATTTCTTTTTATTTATCTGTAATGAGGCTTTTTCCTAGCCTGATAAGGACTTTCCTAGAACTGATAGGTGCTATTTTACTTAAGTGGAAAATGTACTTCTTTGAGATATGCAGTAAAAAGAATATCAGAATTCAAATAGGAAAAAGAACACTGAATTTGTAGTCAGAAGATTTCTGTTGGATCCCGGCTCTGCCACTTATTACCTGTGTAACTTTGGACGAGTCACTTAACCTCTCTGGGTTTCAGTTTTCTGTAAAATGAGGTGGTTGGACTAGATGACCTCTAAGGTTCATTTAATATGAACCTTTGAATCTGTCTCTGCTTCCTGCTACTTAGGGCTGTCTCCTAATTAGGCATGAGGCTGGGAATCCACCTTAGTTCAGGAACCTATCACCCCACTGACAATCACTAAGAATACCTACCATGATATAAAGACATTGTAACTACATTTTCTAAACCAAAAATCCACATGTGTTCCTGAGTTATGAGTTTATGTCTATGAAAAAATCCTAGAAAAATACAAAATTACATTTAATTATGTGATACACAAAGTTTCTGGATTAAAAAGAATTTATCAACATAGTTCTCTCCCCAGCCACTATCTACCCTCTCCTGATCTTGACCCCTTTGTGAATCAATTTGACTCAAGACTGTTCTTCTCTGAAGTCCCTTGCCCCCTTATCATATTGCTGATTTTGCCCTGCCAAGCCTCTGCTTTGGAACACTCCCACTTTATGCTGCCTTCACTTCTACTTTGTGGCTGAATAAAATTGGAGAAAACCACAAAATTGTGCTGAATCCATTACAAATTTATGTTACATAACCTCAATTGGGCCTTCATTGCTGCAAGGCAATCCTTTTATACCTCCCTAATTAATTCACTCTCTGACTTAATGCAGAGACTCTTCCAAACCTTTTCAACCCTCCTCATACCTTTCCTCTAATGTCACCCTCTCAGCTAAGACTTAGCTTCACATTTTACTTGGTGGAAAAATTGATTCCATTCCCCAAGAGGTTGCTCTTCTCACCTCCTCCTCACCTCATATCACTCAGATGTGTTTTGCCACTATCTCCCCCATCATTCTAGGCTCTAGTGAATGAACATGGTAATGGAATTCACAGAATCTTGGAGGTCTTTCCAACATGCCTACCCAGGAAATGCTTCAGCAATATACTGTCAGCAACATTAGGGGTACTCCAGCCTGTTTAAATGCTTCCAGTGACTGGGAAACTACTAGCTCACAATATTGCTTCTTCCATTTTTGAAGGGCTCTGTTAAATAGTTCTCACCTATGTACCTTGCCTTTGGGGCAGAGAGATTTGTGGAAAGAGCTGACCTTGATTCCCAGGTTTTCCTTGCTTACCCTTCTGAAGGAAAGAAAAAAGACTTTTGGGAGTTGTGTATACATAAGAAAGAGACCAGAGAATTGAGAAAGGAAAGGGGTAGCAAGCCAATAGATAAGCCAAGATAGTGTATCAGAAGATCTGGATTGATCGTATGTTATATGTGCCATAGTGGGAGTCCCCAAGCCAGTGATCTGCTCTAGGACTTCTTTTTTTTTTATTTTTATTTTTTGGTTGCACCATGTGTGACTTGCCCAAGGTCACACAGCTAGTAAGTGTTATGTGTCTGAGGTCACATTTGAACTAAGGTCCTCCTAAATCCAGGGCCGGTGCTCCATCCACTGCGCCACCTAGCTGCCCCTCAGGGCTTCTTTTACTTCCTAACAAAGGCATCTTCCCCTTACAGTTGGCAGGGTAAACTAGCTGGCCTGCACTCTTTTTGTTATATTTAATGTAGAGCTCGTTAATCTAACCTTGTTGGCCATCAGAAATGCTCAGCAGTATTTAAGGCTTACAAACAGACTGAAAACAAGGGAGTGAGAGGGTTCCTTGAGCTATAGATACTAAACGTTTGACGGTGGGAGGTAATCTTAGGACTGGAGCTGTTGGCACAAAGTGGAAGAGAATATGACACTGTTACAAGCCTGGCACATAATTCATGATTCAGCTCCTCCTAGAAACAAATCACTGGGCAACAAGAACAGGCAGCAAAGAGTGGATAAGAATGCTTTCATTTTCAAACTGCCTGCAGCTGTTCTTGGCCAGCTGGGTTTGAAAGAAAAGCCTCTCCTCTCAGAGGGAAAGTGAACACAAAGTCCAGCCTCCTTAGGCATACTGGCAGCAGTGCCTCCTGCTGCCTACCTATAATCTACCTTTCTATAATGCCTACCATTCACTGTTCTATCTCTTCTACCCTCTCTGGAGCTACACAGATAACAAGCCAAATCTTCCATGTGTCAACAAAATTGCCCTCATCAGGTTCCTTGTTCTTCCACCCCTCAGCCCCATCCCACACTCATTATTCCTTAATATTGCCTGCTGAAATCTCATCCTTTCCTCAAGGTCCAGATCTAATTCCATAGCCTCCTTGCAGGTATCGGCATTGCAACTAAGAGGAAGTGCCGAGTACCACAGTCAATGGGATAGAAGTGAAGCTTAGAATCATGATTTGAATCAGCACTATATCAAGGGACAGCCCCAAGTACTTTGTGTTGAGCTGTGTGGCCTTCATTTAAAAGAGTCGATCAATCAACTGATCTTATGCTAGGTACTGAGGACACAGATACAAAATACTCTCCCATTGGTAGATCCCTGTCCAAGCTGCAGAACTTCTGTTTTGAGGATGGGGTCATGCCTGCCATCCTTCATTCCTCTGCCAGCTCTGCTTCTGACCCTCTAGACTTTTGCCACCATACCTCAGCTGCCTTCTTGCCCTGGCAGTTTCCTCATTCCCTGGGGTATTCTCACCCTGGAACATTCATCTGTCCCTACGGCCCCTTCTCCCAGAACATCTGTTTTGAGAAAGGGCCCAGGGCAGACATCTCATGCTTCTTCCAGCTCTCTGGAATTTGCCACCATGTCCCAATGCAGGTACCTTTCTCTTGCCTTTTCAACTCACTTTCCCATGTCATCTCCCTCATTAGAATATAAGCTCCTTGAGGGTAGAGATTGTCATTCTTTTTGCTTGTATTTGTATTCTCAGAGCTTAGCACAATGTCTGGCACATAGTAAATGCTCAATAAATGTTTCTGGCCTTGACACTATTCTCAGGAAGCTTACATTCCAATGGAAGGGTTGGCATGTTTTCAACAAGTATGGCAGGCACAAAGCCCTGAGAATATAAAGGCAGACATGAAACAAGGAACTTATACTGTATAATAGTTGTTGATGGCTACTAATTTTATAATTTAAAATATTTCAAAAATAAAGTACAGAACAAAGACTAGAACCAGTCTTCAAGAATGGAATCAGCATCTAAGACAAAAGCCATCAACAGGAATAGATCAGAAAAGAATATAGATTCATAAGCTTGAGAAAGTATATAGAAAGAATCAAAGAAAAATTGGGATTGAAACTCATCATCTTTTCCCCAAAACATCTTCCCTTCTAGTATCATCCATTTCTGTCAGTGACACTTAGGTTCTATATCTCCAAGTCAGCCTTTTCATTCTCTATATCCCTTTGATTATATCCAATCAGTCACTTCTAGTTTGCCTACAGAAAGTAATTCTGGCCATTCCTTCCCTCTCTCTGTGTAAGTGCCAGAGAGGTTTTTCACCTTATTGGACCTAAAGGTTGATAGCTCCATCAGGAAGAAACTCAGGAGATTTTTTTTTAAACTCATGACATTTTTGATGAAGTTGAGCCATGAAACTGTGTCCAAGTGTGGATGTCAGTATAAAAACATATCATAAAGCTGTGAAAATGACAGTGAAGGACAAAGAGCCAGTACAATTGAAAAAACTGAATATTCGAAGAAATACCATTCAGTTCTTCATCCCAACATACAGCTTGCCTCTAGATACTTCACTTGAAGAATCCTGAAGTCTTAGAGGAAATTATTTTTGAAACTATTACATATGTTTAAATTAATTAAACTCAGTATAGTTAATAAGCACATTTAGTTGTTTTTGTTAATATTCAAAGTTAGGCTTTTAATAATATATTCAATATAAAAGATCCTTATCTTGTCACTTTTAAGAGTACGATCAATATAGTAGTTTTGAAATGTTTTAAATTATAAAATGGCCATCTACAACTATTATAGAATGTAAGTTCCAGAAGCCTAGGAATGTTTCATTGAGGATGTTGAACCAAAAGTGAAATCTAACAAAAAGAAACCAAGGTCAAGAATGTGGTCATGGCAGAGGAAGAGGATGTCCTGGGGGATAACATTCTGGGAATGCTGTTATATAAAATATTTCAAAAGTCAAAATATTTTAGGAGGCAAGTTTCGTTTACAATGTCAATTTTTAATAAGTACAAATCTGTGTTGGGGAGAGGGAATCCAATCACTCACCAAGTAACAGCTGGTTCTTCCTTTGTTATTGTCTCTGGCATCTGCCCCTTTCCACTCCTACTGCCACCATCTTTATCTGGCCTCTCTCTCATTACACCACCTCCACTTAATTTCTTCTAACTGGGTCTTCTAAATGACAGTCTTTGCCTCCAGTTCTCCCCGACCACCCACCCCCCATCACACCTGCCAGAACAATCTTCTCAATATATTGTTGGCATGCATCACCCCCTGGTCTAAAACCTCTTCAATGACTCCCCAGCCTCTCTGTCATCAATCATGGTGGAGATTTTCCCCAATTTGGCCCCCACCTACTTTTCCCATGTGCCCTTTCACTTTCCCTGCGTTTCTGGCAGGTTTGCTCCTCGTTCTCTCAAAAGCCAGGCCCATTCTCGCCCCTGAATCTGTCTTCCTCGATGTTTCTTGGCCCCGGACATGAAGCTCTCTGGTCTCATCGGCCCCAGACGCCCCTTTATTCTTCGGTCCCGCAGGAGGCGCTGCAAAACCGGAGCATTTCCCGGAGTGAGGAGTGGCGAGAACGGGCGATGGAGAACAGATTCCCAGGATGCCCAGCGTGTATCCCTGGCAACGGACAGCTTCGGCCGCCGCTGTGCGAGGGGAGGGTCTGCGGCTGCGCGAAGCAGAGCCGCGGTGGAGGCGGGGGTGGAGAGGGCCGGGACCAGCTCGTTTCGCTGTGGTTCTCGCACCGCCGCCACCCGCAGGGACCCGGCAGGAGCGCGGGCGCGGGAGTGGCCGGAGACCCCGCTGACCTTGACTGCGTAGAGTGGCCGGGGGGAGGGAGCGGGGGAAGCGGAAGCTTCCCCGGGACCTGGGAAGGAGACCAAGGGCCATGGCCGAGACGGCTCCTATTCGGGTGAGAGACCCCACCTCCCCCGCGCATACGGAGGGAGGGACAACTGGACTCCAACACCCAAGGCGCCCGGGCTCCGTGGGGGGTCCTTCTTACCCGAGGCTGGGGGCCTCTTGAAGTCCCCAGAGTCAGGATGTGGGAGCTGACCCTACCCTCCAGAACACGAACTTGAGTCTCCTGAGACCCGACTTGAATGTGGAGATGGTTTGAGGGTTTGTTTATGGAAGGAAAGACTTGTTTAGCTATGGACACTGGGAGAAAGGGACAGTTTAGGGTGCCCTCTTACGTTCTACTTTTTCACAGCCAAGCCACCATTTATCTGTACAGTCTCAACAGAAATTTGAAGCTTATTTGGCTTTCAGGCCTCCCATTTTGCAGATAAGAAAACTGAAGCCCAGTGAGATGAAGTGACTTGCTTTTAAGTCGCTGAATCATTATTATTAAATGATTTTAACGGCAAAGCCCGGAGTAGTGCAATGGTCTTGACTTCCAGGTCAAGACTTTTCCCACTAGGTGGGGTCTGCTTTGAAGCTAATTCGAGTGTCAAGGTCGAGATCCTTTTCTAGGAAACAGTATTTGAGTAATGTTTTCACAAAAAGAGAATTCTCCCTAGGCCTCCTGCCAGCTTCTGCATCCGTTTTCTTACTGTACTGCGTGTCTGGGGGAGCCGGTCTTGGACTCTCTGGATTTGGGGGAATCTTTCATTTTACGGAGGACAGAGGATGCCTTCACTAAAATCCTCCTGATGTTTTCATTAGGGGATGGAGATGACCCTGTTTTCTCAGAAGTCCCTCTGGGCAAATAAATCTAATCTACATGACAGCCTGTCAGATACTTAATTGTAACTGTCAGGTCCTTCTGATTTTTTTTTTCCAGGGTAAACATTGCCATTTCCAGCAATCTATCCTCATAAGATATGAATTCTTCTGGATACTTTTGCAGTTTGTCAGTGATTTTCCCAAGTTGTGGTGCCCAGATCCTTGATACATACTTATTTTAACAGAAATTTTGGTTTTAAAAAGCAAAAGGAAATATAGGGACTTATAGAATTAAGTCCTGGAACCAGTTTTCATGATCCCAATTATATCTCTGTTAGCTAGAGCTTGTCTTAAACATTAAAATTTACATTGTACACTACTCAAGTTTCTTGTTTAACATTCTTGCCAGTTTTATATTGCTTACCTGTCTCTCTCTATTGTGTGATAAATGCAATGTCTGATCAGTCAGACCTGCTGAGATTTCCCTTTGTCATTCTTCTTATACTTGGTAACAGGTGTTTTTGCTTTGTTTCCATGGGGGATCAGATTTCTCTCTACAGTTGACACTTAAGCATTTCTCAGTTCTTAAGAGAATGCTTTGAAAGGTATACTAATGAGATGGAGATTGGGGGGTGGGGGAGTGTCTCAGAACTAAGCCAGCAGTCAAGAGGACAAATAGCCTAGTCTTTGGTCAATTTTCATCAGTTACCACTTGCACTTCTAATCTGATTAACAGGAAACCAGTTCTCTAGCTGTCTCCTGTTCCCCAAGACGACAAATAAGAGTCTTGACTCAGAATTCTTCCTTTCTCATGAAACAACAGGAATGAGACATTGTGCCTTGGACCCCAGAACAAAGGTTTCATGACAGCCACAGGAACAGATAATAAGAGGAGTACTCCCAACCTTGTAGGTCACAGCATCTCTAGTTCTTTCAACCTGTCCTAATGTGATGGGGGATTAAGGCAAGCCTTAAGCATCTCGATTGCCCTTCCGGACCATCTACAACTTATTAATGTTCTTTTTAAGTGGTGCCTAGAACTGAACAAAGTACCCCAAATGTGGTCTGATAAAGGCAGAATACAATGATACTGTCACCTTATTCCTAAAAACAATGCCTCTTTTATTGCAGCCCAACATTGCATTAGCTTTTTGGTTGCCACATCACACTACTGACTTATTTTGAGCTTTTAATAAACTAAAATATTCCAGTTTTTATTTAGACAAATTGACGTCTAATCATTCTTCATCTTATATTTGTAAAGATGATACAAGCATAAAACTTTACGTTTGAATTTCATCTTTTTACATTCAACCCAATGGCCCTGGATTTCATCAAAGCATTTGATAAAATCTCTTATGAGAGATGAAGACATGTACATGTATGTAGATGTATGATTGTACAGTGAGAATTCAGAACTTCAGGGGCAGCTAAGTGGCAAAGTGGATAGAGCACCAACCCTGGAGTCAGGAGGACCTGAGTTCAAATTCGGCCTCAGACACAATACTTACTAGCTGTGTGACCCTTTTGCAACTGCCTTGCAAAAAAAAAAATTCATAACTGCTCAGTTTAGCCAACTCAAAAAACTATCAGTCTGGGAAGACATTTCCTATTTCAAGGCAAAGGGTTGTCCTTTGTCCTAGTTTATTCTGTGTTTTTAAAAAGTAATTATTTGCCTAAAGACACCAATGGCATATTTATCAAACTGACTAATTACATGAAGCTGAGAAATCTGTCTGATACTTTGTGTGACAGACTCAGAATCTAGACAGCTGGTAGAGTAAATTGAGTGTTGGACTTGGAGTCAGGAAGACCTGAGTTTAAATATAACTTCAGACATTTATTAAATGTGTGACCTGGGCAAGTAACTTAAATGCCATCTGTCTCAGTTTCCTCTTCTTTAAGATGGGAATAATAAGACATACTCCCAGTGTTGTGAGAATCAAATAAGAAATATTGGTAAAGTATTTTACTAATCTTAAGGCACTATATGAGTGCTAGCTATTGTTATTAGGAATATTTTAACAGACTGAAAGGTGGGCTGCCTCTAGTCCAGTGAAAGTTAGTAGTAAAGTCTTCTACTTGGTTTCAAAAATTCAACCTTACAAGTACAGGTTGAAGAGAGATATAGTTAGAAAGCATTTCATATGAAAAAGATCAAGTGGTTCTAGGTCAGCATTCTCATATTTTAGCCAAGTAAGATGTGATCTTATGCTTGGTTGAAAGGTAGTGTCCAGAGTTAAAGTCTTATATTCTGACCTGCTCAGATGACACCTGGTTTATCATGTTCAATTTTTAAGGGATATTGACAAGGTGAAAAAATGTAAAGAAAGGCAACCAGTAGAATTGGAGGCTTGAAACCATGCATGCACAAAAATTCACTGGAGAAATGCTATCTGTTTAGTCTGGGAAAAAGAATCTTTCAGGGTGACATGATAGTTTTCTTTAACTTATGCTGCTTGGCTTCAGAGAACAGACAAAGGCCCAAGGTGACCTTGCAGCATTCTCAAAACTTCCAGATATAAAACATTGACCAACTGGCATAGCTTTCAAGAATCCAGAGTCACTTTCCTAATAAAATGGTATAAAATGTATCGAGGAAATATGATTGGAAAAGGAGATAAGCCATTCATGTAGCAAGAGCAATGAATAACAGAGGGATAGCCCAAGTTATGTCTTGGTATTTAGGGAATGGTGATAGACCGGAAGTATGATGCTACATAAGCCCTCTCTGTGGGATTGTTTATGATCGTTCTAGACCCATTCAAATATGGACATATGTCCATTATACAGATGAGGTTAGTGAGTATTGGAGCTGGAACTTAAAACCCATTTCACATGATTACCAGTTTAGTGTCAACCAAGTTCACACACAGTGAATCTCTTAGATATACTTTGATATATTCAATGTCTTGAATGCCCAGCTCAAGGTAAAATCAAACCTTTTATGTTAAAAGTGATATTTGCCCACTTAGCAGAGAGACATTTTGATGGCTGTCATGAAATAATTTTATCTAATAATTCTCCTAAGACCAATAAATAAAATAGATAACAAATTGAAGCCTCAGAACTCCAGGGCACAGATGAGAGGTTACTTTGACTTAGTTGAAGTATTTGCCAAGAGTATTTTGGTTATAGTTGGGAAATAAGTCCCAGATATTTTGGGAAATATATTCCTATATGTTCTGCTGAAATGCTACAACAAAACTCCCTCAAAATGCTGAAAATATAGCCTTGAAGGAAGAATTTTGTAGCCCTCTGTCTGAAAAGAATGACTTTGATAGTTTTTTAAAAAGGCAATAAATTCTATAAGAAGATGTTGGGGGTGGCACTTAAGTAGTAAGTGTGTCTACAATGTTTGTGATTCCAGGCATTCTTGACCTTTGACGATGTGGCTGTATATTTCTCTGAGAAGGAGTGGGGAAACCTGGAAGAGTGGCAGAAGGAAACCTACAAGCATGTGATGAGGACAAATTATGAGACCTTAACGTCCTTGGGTAAGATGACTTAATTGGAAACTTGTTAGGTATTTCTCATCAAAGTACATGCTAGTCTCACATAGAATTCAATAGACATCTGTGTGGTGCCTGTATGCTAGATGATATGGCGCTACAAAGACCAATGAGACAAAGTCTTCGCTTTCAAGAAGCTAACAATCTAGCAAAAGCAATTAACAGGATCAATTAATCAATATACATTGAGTTTTTAATAAATTATTTAGGGGAAAAAAAACTATCCAAATGGAAATTTCCTAAAAGAAGGTAAGGTAAGTTTTGGTGTGTCCAAAGATGTAGATTGTTGTTGTTGTTTGCCCTTCGTTCTCGAAGAGGACTGTGACATCGAGAAAGTGATGCCATGACTTGCAAGTGAATTGGATTTAAGTGAAGGAGAGCTGTCCAACCTCACTCTCTTCTCTGGAGTGGCAAGATATAGATGAGGACAATTGGAGATAGCCTGGGATGCACTGGGAAGCCTTGGCCTAAACAAAGCCTGAAGAGGAGGAAAGGGTTAATGGATTCTCTCTAAAGGTATTAATTGGTTGACCTTTATGAAAATAAGTTGAATTGGATGAATATGCAAGAAGAGGTTACCCAGTTAAATGAGAGAATGTGGAGCATAAAAATGTTTATGAGATTCATTATGTACAAAATAGGACACAGCCAGTATCTCCATCTTTGGTTTGCATTTTAACACTTAACTCTGTAGACCAATCAGAGTTACTCCTTAAATCTCAGCTAAAAGCTACAACCATTTCAAGTAGATGGTAATGTCAGCTGATTGTAGATATACTGCATGATACACTTTAGCTAGAATTAACTACATTCTCATCTCTTTGGGCAGTGATTCATATCCCTGATTGTGGCCATGTTCAGCTGTTCCAGGGCTATTCATTTTCTGGATGCATCTGTTCTTCTCATACGTTGTCCCTCTAGTCAATCGAGGAAAATAAAATAACTGTGAATATATTTGCACAGTGAGTGTTCAGAGAATCAAAATTGCCTCTTTTTGGCCTTTCTGCAGACCATGCTGTCCCAAAACCAGACTTAATATCCTGGATTGAACAGGGTAAAGAACCATTCATCAAAGATCTGGTGGATTTGAAGAGAAGAGAAACAGTGGTCACTTGTGGTGATGATGGGGAATGTAACCTGGAAAGCACTGAGGGGTGGAAGTTTTTTGGTGAGTGTGAAGAGATTAACCCCGTAACAACTTCCATCCTTTTGGCTAAGTACTATAAATATTTCTTTTTCCTTGGACTAGATTGAACCTCATATGTAGAGAGCACTGAACTTAGAGACAACTGACCAGTAGAAATCGGAAGACTTAATCCCTTTCTGGAGCTTTTGACGTTGTTGACCAACAAACACATCCTACCGGAGCTCTTTGGCCTTGCTTTCAGAGGCATTATATTCTCCTGATTTACTTCTTACCTCTCTAACTTCTATGAAGGAGACTTCCTTGGGTTCGACTAATATGAGTATTCCCACCTAATGATCTTGGACAAGTGATTTAACCTGTGTGGACCTCAGTTTCCTCATTTATAAGATGAGGGGATTTGATTAGATGGCCCCTAAGCTCCCTTTCAACACTATCCTGTGATCCTAAGAACTCTAAAAAGGACCTGAGAGTTATCCATCCATTTAGCTGAAATTTCATTTTAATAATAAGGAATATATATATATATATATATGTGATATGTCTTCATGAGTATATTCACTCATTTGCTGACTGATTGTATATTTAGAGTACTAGCAACTTTCTAAATTCTAAAAATTATATTTTTAGAAGCCCAAAGCTATGATTCATATCATCTTCATTTTTCTAAAAAGAAACAGATGATTCCTCTTGGACCTCAGCTAGAAAGTCCTTTCAGGGATTTTAAACAGTGAGTAAAGATACCCCTTCCCAAGGGTCCTCAGAGGAACGTTGCCTTCCTTGTCCCACTGGGAATAATAATTCCCATTAAAATGACCCAAGGTGAAGAACTCAAGAGTCTGGATATAGGAAAAATAAAAACTTGATGAGAAGGAGCAACCCAAAACCCTAATAACTTAAAGTGAGGATTTTTATAGCAGTCTCTTTTATTTTTGGCTGCAGTTTCCCAGCAGTTTAATAAGCCTTGGTCACTTGGATTCTTTATTCTGAATCAGAGCGAGGAGGAGTTGTGTTGGAGGAGGAGGAGGATTATAGTGATAGCTAGCATTTTTATGGAGGCAGCTAGGTGGCTCAGTAGATAGAGCATTGGGCTTGCAGTTAGGAAGACCTGAGTTCAGATCTGGCTAAGATATTCACTAGCTGTGTGACCCTGGGCAAGACACTTAACCTCTGTTTGCCCTAATCCACTGGAGAAGAATATGGCAAACCATTCCAATATCTTTACCAAGAAAACTCCATACAGGTTAAACATTTTACAAATACTACTTCATTTGATCTTCACAACAACCTTGGAGGTAAGTGCTATTATTATACCAATTTTACAAATGAAGAAACAGAGGCAAACAGAGATTAAATGACTTGCCCAAGGTCACACCACTAATAAGTATCCAAGGCCAGATTTTAACTCATGCCTTCCTGACATAAGGCCCAGTACTTTATCCACTGCATCACCTAGTAGCCTCTGAATATGTGGATATCACCACCTATTACTATTATTAATAAATATACCTTACAATCAAATTTCACTTTATAATTTACAAAGGGATTTCATATATTATTTCACTTTATACTTATAGCAGCTCTGTGAAGTAGGTAAGGGAGATCTTATCCTCATTTTATAGAAGAGGAACCTGAGGATATGTTGTATGTCCAAGCTCACTTCATTGTATGCTTTCAGCTAAATTCATGGAAGCAGTTGTGGCTTCTCCAAAAATCACATTGCTAGAAAATACCTAAGTAAACTTGAATCCAGGTTTTTTAAAAAATTTTTTGTTAAGTCCAATTTTCATCAGACTTCATTATAGAGCCTCTCATTCATTTATTCAACCCACATTTCTTTTTAAATAATAATTTAATTTAATAATAACTAATAGTGTAACAGATATGCATGATCAAGCAAAATAGATTTCTACAGTGGCCGTGTCCAAAAATGTATGTCTTATTCTGCCCGTACTGTTGTCTTTCTCAGAGGGTGAGCCTACCACTCATGAGGGCTGATGATTTCCCTTGGATTAAGCAAGGCATCAAACCACTTATTTTGGATCACTTGTACTTAGAAGAAAGAACAGACCCAACATGCCCTATTCCAGGTGAGTGAATAAATTAAGTCTTTTCAAGATCTAGGAGAATAACAGTGTTAGTAAGTGACCCTCCTTAGTTCTCTCTTCTTGCTTTTTAAAAAATTTTATTTTAAAATAATTTGTCATAACTGAACTTTCAGCTACAAAACCAATCATATCTACATTGGCAACTATTTACATGTAAAGCTGAATCTCTGCCTACATGTTATAAAACATCCTCGGTTATAATCTCTGTATCTCCGTACATTCTCTGTCCATTTTGTTGTTGCTGTTGTTGTTCAGTCATTTTCAGTCGTGTCCAATTCTTTGTGATCCCATTTGGTATTTTCTTGGCAAAGATACTAGAATGGTTTGCCATTTCCTTCTCCGGTTCATTTTACAGATGAGGAAACTAAGGCAAACAGGGTGAAGTGACTTGCCCAGGGTCACACAACTTGTAAATGTCTGAGGCCAGATTTGAGCTCAGGAAGATGAGTCTTCTGGACTCCAGGCCTAACACTCTATCTACTCAGCTGCCTAGCTGCCTCTCTCTGTCCATTAGTCTTTGTATTTTTCCATTATATTATTGCAGTCAATATACATACTATTATTCTCTTTTCTTTGCCTTTTTTCTTGAATGTTTCCAACCATGACCTCACCTCACACTTCTATCAGATGACCTAGCCTCCTACTTCACTGAGAAAATTAAAAACATTAGACGTGAACTGCCTCAGTTTTATTCCCCAGTCCTCGGACCTTTTCAGTATCATCATCTGTGTTCCACTCATATAATGCGTCAAAGATTCAAAGTAACATGTGGATCCAATACCAAAGTTGTTTTCTTAATAAGCAACTTTATTGTCCATGTAATAGCTTGGGGCATCAGATGAGTCACACTCTGAAGATGACCTGGCTTAACCTACTGTGGTCACACAGGGCCTTCTATTCCCAATAACTCCTCCCTTCCCAGAAATCCCACCGTCTCCTATCTCTCTTTATGTCACCCCTTCTCCACCCTCAGCAATCCAGGGCAACTCAATACTTATTTATAGTTTTTCATGGTGTGCTTGGCCCTAATCTTTAAGTTAATTTTTGGCCAGGAACAGAAATTGTCACAGAAAATGAATGAGTCTGCAGGCAAGTGCAGTATACCCAAATCCTTTAAGGACATGGTTTTGGTAATCCTAATAAAGTTATCTTTCATTCTAATGTCATTTGTGTTGGACAAGTAAACACACCAATTTTACCATTTCTTAGTAAGGAGACACAGGAAGGCTTCTAGCAGCTCTCTCACAAGCAGGTTCACTTTTCATCTGGTCAGACAGGAAGACAGGAATGGAGTCATAATAAGGGGTTAAATAAGCTTACTTTATTCTAGTCTAGTCCTCTCAAAGGGAGTTTTGCTGATAATGGGAGCACCAACACCTACAGCATTCCCTAACAACCCTTCTCACAGGGGCCAGTGTGAAGAGGGGTGCAACTATCCCTCTCGATGGGTTAAGTTGAGAGCAGCACAACTTGTGTACTCCCCTAAATCCCCTCAAGCCTCAATGGGGGGCTGGTTGAGGCAAACACACAGATTCCCCCTCCCAAGCCTTGGTGGGGGCAGATCAAGGCACTCACAGCATTCAGCCTGCATAATCACCCCTATGGGAGTCCCCAGTCACTGACCAGTGTTCACTTCCTTTAAAGGGCAACAGACAAAGAAGGCATATTGCCATCAGTGGCCTCACAGTTTTACATCACTTCATCCCTATATCTGCTTGTGCAAGCGTGGTAGAAAGCTGTTTTGAACCATGATCATGAGAACTCATATCTAACACCTGGGAAGTAGAGATTGTTATGGGTGTGGATCCTGGGAAGAAAACTCTGAGAAAGAATAACAAAAAATCCACTTTATATACACTAAAATTCACCTTACTTACAATTTGATCTGAGTAGAGCTCCACAGTCTGGTATAGTGGAAAGACCACTGGATTTGGAGTCAAAGGATCTAGGTTTGCCTCCTGGCTCTGCCACTTATTAGCCAGATTTTCTTAAGCAAGTTAGTTTACTTTTCTGGGCATCAGCTTACTTCTTTAGTAAAGTGAAGGACTGTGAATTTAAAGGCAAAGTTAATTCCTAGATCATGAGTTCTTAAGCTTTTTTGTGTCATGGACCCCTTTGGTAGGCTTTTCAAACCTATAGACCACTTCTGAGAATAATGTGGTTTTTTAAATTCATAATTGTAGGAAATGTTAAATTACAGTTAGAAGTGAGTAAAAATAAAGTAATTTTTTTCCATCCAAGTTAATAGACCACTTGAAATCTATCCAGAGACATTGTGATCACTGGACCTCAGGTTAAGAATCCCTGTGGCAGCTGATCTCTGAGGTCCCTTTAAAGCTCTTAAGTCTTTGATCCTAGGTTCACGTTCTAAATATCCAAATGTCATTTCAAATATTCTTCCAGCACCCCAGTTCCCGTGCCCCATATTTTAACCCAGTGTCCCTTCAGTGATGGTCTAAAAATACCTCTAACTTAATTCTAATTTCATTTAACCTTATACTAATATTTACTAAGGCAAATTCCTCTTCCTACTCTTTTAAGCCTATTCCCTCCTGCTTTTTCCAGAATCTTGTTTGCTTTAGGAATCATCCTTTCTTTCTCCTGCATCTTCATCTGTCCCTTACCATTGGCTTCTTCCTCTCTACCTGCAAACGTGCTTAATGCTCAATCCAAAAGATGCCTTCCTTTGAGCCTTCTAGCTCATTCAGATACTTCCTATCCCGTCTCTCTTCTGACTTTCATTACTAAATTCTTGAAAGTGTTGTCTATACCTAGTTCTTCCACTTTCATGTTGTACCTTCTCTCATTAGCCTGTTATGATGTGCTTCTGTCCTTACCATACTACTCAAACTATTCTATTGAAGGAAGGAAGGCAACAAGCATTCAAGTGTCTCCTATGTGCCAGGCAACTGTGCATGCTAAGCGCTTTACAAGTAGCAACTCATTTGATCCTCACAACAACTTTTTGAGGTAAGTGCTATTATTATCCTTATTTTATAATTAAGAAAACTGAGGCAGACCAAGGTTAAGTGACTTGCCTAGGGTCACACAGCTAATAAGAGTCTGCATTTCAACTCAAATCTTCCCAATTCCAGGACCTGTGCTCTATCCTCGTCTGTACCTGGCTACCTCCTGAAAGGCACCAATAACCACAAAAAACAACATCTTTTATGCCTATCCTCTTTGACCTTTCTGTAGTTTTTTAACATTGTAGACCATCTCCTCCTGGATCTCTTCAGGCTCTTGATTGCAGAAATGCCACTGGTTCCTAGTTTACTCCTTACCTCTCTAACCATTTCTATGTCTCCTTCATTTGTTCCTTATCTTCTTCCTGAATCCTTAAGGTGAATGTTCCTCAAGCGTCTGTCTTTGGTCCTCTTTTCTCTCATCAGCCTTTCTTTTTTTTCCTCACAGCTTCAGTATATGTATTTGGGCCTATTCTGGTTTCTCCTACTCTTCTGGTGTACTTTTTCTGTTACTTGTTTACTACAAGATAGCTTTGATTAAAACTACTTTCTAAAAGATGCAAACAATATGTAATAGAGATTTGTAATTTTGTGTATAGTTCTGTCTTTCTGTACTTCTGTATATATGAAAATGCTTATATTTTATATTTGTTAAATATAGAAAAGAAGTTGCTACATATTGTTTTAAAGTCTTTTCATGCTGTTTAGTTTGGGAACATTACTGATTATATCATGCATTTGCTTGAATTCCCTAACAAAGCTCCGTAGTTAACTAGGCCTCAGCTTCTCAGTGATGACACCTTTACATTGGACAGCATCCACTGAAAATACAGTTCCTTCTTGGCTGAACTGGAGGACCTGGTAAACTTATAGGTGTTGGACTTTATATTAATGAACCCAGGGAGCCACAGCTTAGTGTTGCTTATCAAATCCATCTTGAGTCTTATTTGTTCAATCTAAAGTAAGTCTCCATACTCTATTTTTAATTATGTTAATGACAGATAATTAAAAGGCAAAGTTATGGCTTCTCTGGGAATGAAAGTGAGAGATGGACCTAGATTCTTAGGATAGCCTTTGTTAGCTATGTTTTGTTTTAGTAGTGATTTGGATAGATCATAGGTCAGACAGGAATAATAACAGGGTATTTGTTCATAATTCCAGAGTGCCAGGTTGCTGTGAGTACAAGAGAAGAGGAATTCCATTTGGATGATCATCAAAGCCAAGATTTACTTAGATCTTCACCATGGAAAAAAGGAAATCTTTGCTCCATATCTGTTCAAAGAACTACCTTGAGATACCTCCACATTCAAAACAAAAGCCCTGTTTTTCTAAAAGCTCACAGCATTAAGGGGTTCTCCCAGAGGAAAAGAGTCCTGAATCATAAAATCGCAGGCCCCCTGGGCTGTCAGGAAGTCTCCCTAGGACAGAGATGCTTCCATTGCTCTGTGGCTAATAAAAGCTTCCACGGGAAAGGTCACTTGGTACTCCACCAAGGGTGCCATCCCAAGGAGGAACCCTGCCAGTGTTCAAAGTGTGAGAAGCCATTAAGCAGCAAGTCTAACTTCAAGCAAAGCCAGAGATTCTGCTACCAGGAGAAGCCCTTCCAGTGCCACCAATGTGAGAAGAGCTTCTGTGCAAAATGGAGTCTGATTGCTCACCAGCTGGTTCACAAAGGAGAGAGGCCCCTGTGGGGCCCCAAGGGAAGCAGAAGTTTCTGCTGCAAGGTCAACTTAGAGGAGCTTCAGCACATACCCAGCTGGGGGAACCTGTTCCCCTGTGAAGAATGTGGGAAGAGCTGCCTGGGATCCTACACGCATACACATCAGGGCCTGCACAGTGGGGAGAAGCCATTTTCCTATGGTGGGTGTGGCAAGGTCTTCACCTTTCAATCTATTCTCAGCACCCACATGAGAATTCACAGTGCAGAAAAGCCCTTCCACTGCCAAAAGTGTGACAAGAGCTTCTGTAGGAAAACCTCCTTCAAGTTTCACCAAAACTCACATGTTGAACAAATATCATTCTCTTGTGGGGAGTGTGGCAAGTGGTTCACCTGCCAGTCTAGCCTTACTGATCACATCAGTGTCCACACTGGGGAAAAACCCTTTCCATGTCCCAAGTGTGATAGGAAGTACCGCCTAAAGAGAAGTCTGAAGGTACATCTGAGACTGCACAATGGAGAGAAGCCCTATCCCTGTGGTGAGTGTGGCAAGAGTTTTATCCATCGGTCCAAGCTCACAGAGCACATCAGAGTGCACAGTGGGGAGAAGCCCTTCCAATGTCCTGAGTGCGATAAAAGCTTCAGCCAGAAGTCTTCTGTGAAAATCCACCGGCGTCTTCATACCGGAGAAAGACCATTCTCCTGTAGCGAGTGTGGGAAGCGCTTCAACAAACAGAACAACCTCAACCAGCACGTCACACTCCATACTGGAGAGAAGCCTTTTCAGTGTCCTGAGTGTGACAGATGCTTCCGACTAAAGATAAACCTGAAGGCCCATCTCATCCAGCACAGTGGGGAGAAGCCATTTTCCTGTAGTGAATGCAGCAAGAGCTTTACCCGAAGATTTTTACTCACCAAACACCTCAGAGTCCACAACAGAGAGAAATCGTTCTCCTGTGGGGAGTGTGGAAAGAGCTTCATCCGTCGGTCTCATCTCACCAGTCACATTGGAGTACACAAAGGGCAGAAGCCATTCTCCTGCGGTGAATGTGGCAAGAGTTTCATGGAACAGCCGGAGCTCACTAACCACATCATGGGCCATAGTGGGGAGAAACCCTTCTCGTGCAGCGAGCGTGGTCGAATCTACAGCCATCGGTTTCAGCTCACTGAACATAGCAAAGTCCACAGCAGGGAAAAATTATTCCCATGTTCTGAGTGCAAAAAGAGTTTCAGCCATAAGCTTGCCTTGAAAGTGCACCAGCAAATACATATAAGGGAGAGGCCATTCGCATGCAGTGAGTGTGGCAGAAGATTTACTTATAAAGGTGCGCTCAACACCCACCTCACAGTTCATGCTGGGGAAAGATTCAATGGTCCTAAGCCAGACAAGGTTCCCAGCAGTGACAGCCCTTTGGACCATTATTGGAGTTAATATAAAATGGGCTGTACAAAAGATATGGTAGAACTGTGATCTACTAGAAAGCCAGAACCACATAAAGACCAGACCAATGTGTGGAATGGAGGTCTCCACCATCTGGTAGATCCAGAGTGTGAAGGACCATGAAGGGTCTTCCTTCTATAAGGAATGCTGCAGTGCTGCTGCTTTGTCCTTCATTGAAAGGGGCATCTGGCCTCATGTTGTTTTTCTTACCTTATTAAGGGCTGTCCAACGTACTGAGGGAACTCCTTGTTCCTACCCAACATGCACATACCTCCAGACATAGAAAACTCTGAAATCAGAGCTTGAGTAATATGTGTGAATGAAAACTCCTCTCCTACTTCATCCCATCTGGATTTCACCTTCTCAGGACTATTGATTAAACTGAAAGGATTCTCTTTAGAAATTCCATATAAAAATTCCAGAGGTAAGTAGATTCCTAAGAGATTTTTTGATCTGTAAAAAATTACTTTGATAACATCCTTTTCATAGTTAATATTCTTGAACTGTGATCCAGTTTAGTTTCTGGTTATTAGTGATTTATATAATCTATTTTCCATTATGATTTATTGTATTTCCCATTTATAAAGGGATTGTATAAGATCCTTTTTAAGAGAGCTAACATTGTTGTCCCTATATCACCTTGAGTGAATCACTTAACCTCTGGGCCTCAGTTTTCCCAGTGTGACATGGAGGTGGATTTGATGTTCATTAAGGTTTCTTCTCCCTAAGGCTCCATAGAATCATTTCATCTACCACCAGAAGAAATTTTTACTTCTTTTGGTTTCTCCCATAACTTGGTTCAACAAGAAAATGAGATTCTATAGTCATTACTTCTTAGAAAAATAAAGCCCCCAAAACCCACATTGTTTTTCTTTTTCCTCTTATGGTATATTCTTACACCCTTTGACTGCATTCTCTTTTTCTGCTTCCAGAGATCACTAAAACAATTTCTGGTCTCTTAGCTGGAAATGATAGCAAATGGCATTCTTTGGGGCTTTACCATTCCTTTATATTCAGATTTCATTTTTTATTTTCCCTTCTTCCTTACAATCCAACATGTATATTATTTCAAATCTCCTCCCTCTTTTCCTACCATCCTATTTTAGAACTTCATCCCCTCGACTTTTGTAATGGCCTGCCAGCTGGTCTTTTTGCTTTTACTCTCCAGTCCATCCTTTTTATCATTGCCCATGTACTCTTCCTGGTGGGGATCTGTAGGCAGGGTTTTGGTTGGAGCTGTGCTTTTAAACTCATTTGAAGTCTCGATTGAAACCCAGTTATTGTGGTGGAAATCTAGCTGGGGAAAGAAGGAAGCTGAAATATGGTTTCCAAAAAAAGGAGTATTAGGAATTATCACAAGAGAATGCTGGTCAAGATTCAGACAGAAAGAAATCAGTAATGTGGAACTAGAATTGTGTGAGCAGAACTTGAGTAATCCTTCCTTCTGTAAAAAAACAAAAAAACAAAACAAAACAAAACCACAAAACAAAACAAAACCACAACGCAAAACCCATAGCTGTGCCAGGCTATCCTAATGTACTGCTCTCATCACTTCTCTCCTTAAAAACCTTTAGTTGCTTCCCTTTGTCTATCAAATAATGTGAAACTTCCTTGTTGGCATTCAACATTCTTCATAATGTGGCTATACCAGAGGACCAGAGCTTTGTGTCCATCCTGAAACATCACATGGCCATCTTTGCAGTCTGATAGCAAACTAGTCTTTCCACAACCTGCATTTCAACCATCTTGGACAAGGCCCTTCCCCTTGCTTTCATTTTGCTTTTGACCCCCTGTCTGGAGTAGATTTCCACCTTCATTTCCATCCTTTTGGGTGCCACCTCCTTTCTGAAGTCTTTCCCTGTCCCCCAGTTCTCCCTCTTCATTTTTATAGTGCTCTTTTGCTAAACCTTTTCTTTTTACTTATTACATTCTAACTCATGTTATCTGTGCCATCTCTTCTATTATACTGTAAATTCTTTGAGGAAAAAGACTGTCTTATTTAATCTTTTTTTTTTAACCATTAAAGGCAGTAAGGTATAGTGGATAGGCAGCTGGCATTCAAGTCTTTCCACTGATACATGTTAGCTCTGTAACCCTGTGCAAGTCACTGACCTTTTTAGTATTCCAGTATCAAACTCAGATAGAAACAGAAGCATCAGTCTGTACATTAGGATCCTTACAACCACGTAGTGATTTACTTGGGAGTGTTAGCCAAACATGCTTGACATCTCTGCTCTGAGCAGTGCTCTGAGACTATGAATTGCAGAAAAGATGTCACCCTGCATTGGTATAGGGTGTTTTCCTACCTGGGAGTTCACTAAACCAGTGAAATCAAAGGCCCAATTCTTAATTCTGTATTTATCAGCACATTGCACAGTGCCTTGCACATGATTGGACATTTAACAATTTTTTCATCCCAGGCCATGGCTTCTCTTAATCTTCCTAACCACAGAAGAATATGCTCCCAAAGTTGTTTTGTCGGCCTACTTCTGTTCTTTTGCTCTATCTGCTGTGTCTTGACAATCTTATTCACTCCCATTGTTTGAATTACTCCCTCTTCTCCTCTCTCCCAAATCTATATATCTAATTGTGGCTTCTCTCTTGAGCTTCAGACCCACATTTCAGGCAACTGGGCTAAACTGTTATCTTTCACCTCAACCTGCTTCTCTTCCGATTTCACTATTTCTGTCAATGGCATTATCATTCATCCAGTATCAGTGTTTGAAGCTATTGCATTGTCTTTGACTCTGCCCTCTCCCCTGACTCAGTCGTTTACCAGATCTTGGGGGCTGTGCCTCCACAGTCTCTTACATATGCCTCCTCTTTTTTTATTCTCATGGCCACCACCTTCAGATAAGCACTTAGTGCCTTATTCCTACACTATTGAAAGAGACTCTCAACAGCCCTTTCCCTTTCCCACTCATCCTTGACAGTATTATAAGAATCTTCCTCCTTCTCCAACATCAACCCTTTGATGGCTACCTATTGCCTGCAGAATCAAGTTTAACATCCTCAGCGTGGCATTTCAGAGCCTTCCACAATCTGGTACCCCTTCACCTCCATGTTCCATACTTTGGGCAACACAGATTCCTCACAGCTCTGGGTACGCGTGGTCTTTCTTGCCTAAATGCTTTTGCTCAGGCCATTCCTTATTTCTATTTCTCTCTGCCTATTTCTATCTTATGCCTCCTTAAATCCCTCCTAAATGAACCTACTCATCTGTGATCTGCCTCCAGTCAACAATGAACTTTTCCCCCCTAGAATGTCTCATGCCACTTTCATATCTTTTTTTTTGTATTATAGGTAATTGTGTATGTATCTTACTTGTTTTCAGGCTCCATATTTCTTATTCAAACTTTTTATCCTCCCAGCCCTTCAGTACTTGGCAATATTTTAGATATTTAACAAAGATATTAGTCTCCCTATGGCTTGTTCCCCCTTTTAAAAGTCCCTATTCTCTGTCTTGCCAAATAGATATTAAATTCTCATAGGATAGAAGGAAGTATCTTATACCTGTGTCAACCATATATCCCAGATTTTCTTGCAGTTACAATTTAAATATATTCTCCAGTTGTTTCCATGAGCCATCTAAACAATATGAACAATTTAGTTATTTCCTTGCAAGATTCTAAATTGTTTTTCAACTTAAAACAAATAAAAACAATTCACAACCCACCAACAGTGTACTTCTAGCTTTCTTGTTGTGAAGTAATTCCTTAGGTTGCACTTCTTTGATTATTAGTGATTTTTACCATTTTTTCAGGTTGTTACTGATAGTTTACTCTTTTAACAAACATTTATGTCCTTTTTGTTCACTTGTCCATTGAGAAGAAAAGAACTACGAAGAGTGATTTGAGAGAAATAAATGATATTGAACCCAGGCCAAGTGTAAACCCAGAGCTTTGCTTCTGGACCATGGTTACAGAAAAAATATCTTATAGAAAATAACCCTGTTAAGTTGGATCTTATGGTAAAGGAATCTGTAATCATATGTCCTACCATTAAACTATAATAATACAACTTCTCTTGCTTATATATTAATTTATGGTTTGTTAAGGTCCAATAAGGATTTCAAATCTTTTAGGTTGTACCTTTTTAACTAATTCCCAGTATTTGAATCTAAATTTCTATCTGTACAAACAGTGAAGAAATTGTAGAAAATGTTCTTACTCCACAAACTCAAAATATTATGACAAGAAACAAGTGAAACTGCATCTTCATTATAATATGTTCATCTAGCTACAAAGAGCAAAAAGCTATTTCAATAAGTTATTTTCAATTCAATTCAATGACATTTCTTGCTCTCAAACTGCTTACATTATACTAGGAAGGATATGGTGCATATACAAAGAAATATAATAGAAAATTAGAACAAATGTGATCAGTAATAAGGGCAAAAGATCCAGACAAAGGGCCCTAGGAAAATTGGAGACAGAAAATGCTTTATTCTTGAGTGATTAGGGAAAGAAGCGATAACCTGTACTGCCTTGAGAGATTATAAAAGATGGAAATGAGAAAGAAAACTCTAATTGGTTTAGAAGAGTTCTCTAACTTCATCTTGGTAGATGATAAGACTGACCATTATTTGATTATATGTTCTCTGTTCCAAGTTGCAACAGACCTGTTGGCAGGATAGTTGGAATGACAGTCAGTACTTCAAGGATCAGGGATTCCATTCAGTTTGGGTAACTCCTTTCACCTTTAGAGCTTACAACTCTTCTGTTACTGCGGAGAGGGTCTTCAAGAATTGCTGTGGTTGAAGAATTCGTCTCCCTGCAGCCAACTTGGTGGAGTTTCTCAATTCAGTTGGACTGGTGCTCTGATGACATATATGCAGGTTGCCTGCTGCACCAGAAGCCTTACCAGCGTCATGGGAGTTGCCAGATTTAATTTGTCTTCCATTGGTGTGGCCTTGGAGAACCCCAGGTCACCCCTATTCTTCTCAAAGCAAGAACTCACCAATTCAACCAGAACTGTTGTATTTATTGAGATTTGGAAATGGTGCATCATGTCATAGGAATTTTTTATTGTTGTTCAGCCGTGTCTGACTCTTTGTGACCCTGAAGGGGGTTTTCTTGGCTAGGATACTGGAGTGGTTTGCCATTTCCTTCTCCAGTAGATCTCCACAAACAGAAATGAAGTGACTTGCCCAGGGTCACATAGTTAATGAGTGTCTGAGACTGAATTTGAAGTGACTCCAGGCCAACCCTCTATCCACTGAGTCACCTAGCTGCCTCAGCAATAGGAATACACTATGTTAATTGTATGAATTATCTAGACCTTTGAAGAACACATCTTTATAGCTTCTATCAGTAATCTGGGGAAAATCTTTAATGTAATTATCTGAGGAAGATGTGGAATGTTTTTGCAAGTACACTGTTGTACTTGTAAAATCTTTTTAATGAAGATTGTGTTCTTTTAATTATTTCCTATTTATCCTGTACATAGTTTGCTTTCTATATATTTGTTTACCTGTTGTCTCCCCCATTAGATTTTAAGCTCCTTGAGGGCAGGGAGAGTCTTTTGCTTCATGTTCCCTGCTTAGCACAGTGCCTGACGCATAGTATGCACTTAGTAAATGTTTATTGAATCAAGAAGTGTTCTAAAATCATTTTAATGAAAACTTGCTTATCTGATTTCAAACTTAAAATGTGTCAGTTCATTCTCTCACTAACCATTGATATTTTTTGTTAATCCAAATGCATTACTCAGAGATTTGCCAAGAGATATTTGCAACAGTTAAGAATAAATAATTATGTAGCAAGCTTATTTCTTCAAAGGAACAGTTTGCCATTAATTTCAACAGTTATTGAAAGTGATGCCAGTATTGCATTGACTAATATATTTTTTGATGTAGAATTTTCTATTTTGATGTATTTTTTTAAAATAAAGATTATTTGTGGCTTTAAACAGAACTGTTACATTTGCAAAATATTTCATTTTGTTACTTTTGTAAGACTTTCTCCTTGATATATTAATACATTTAATCTACCAAGACCATGTCTTATTGACCTTTCATGATGAAAAGTTGGTGATAAATCAGGGATGTGCTGGTGAATGTTTAACATTTGGTTCTAAGAAGGCAGGACATAGGCTTAATCTTCATTATTAATATTTTTCCACCACTTTAGAGTCTAGATTAGTAAAAGGATTTGTTCTGTAAAACTTGGACTCGGTCAAAAGACCGCTCCCAAGGACCTAGAAGGCCACTCGAGGCCGCAGGCTCCCCACCGCTGATAGACAGTCAGCTAAATAATTCCTGACTTCAAACCTCTGTGGGCTCCTACTCCCTCCAAAACGTTTCCAGGCAAGGATGAAGCTCTTGAACTAAACATATGCATTTACTCTTCCCGCCCGGAGGCGGGAGACTGTGACCAGTCTCCAGGAAGTGGCGGCTTCTGGGTTTAGCCGGGAGCTGAGGTCCCAAGATGCATCGCGAGTTTCCGTGACTGCAACCGTCCGGGCGAGAGCGAGGGAGCTGGAGGGGCGCGGGCCTAGAGGGGCAAGCGGAGCGGCGGCTGGAGGCCCGAGCGCAGCCGGAGGGGAAGGGCTGGGCCGGAGCCGTCTTCAGCGGCTTTCTCCGGCGCCTGGGAAGCAGACGAAGCGCCATGGCCGAGGCGGCTCCTGCGGCGGTGAGAGATTTCCCACCGTCGCGCATGGACGGCCGCGGGGCCGCCCGCGACTCTGAGCCGCTCACCGGGGGACGGAAATGGGGGGAGGGGCCGGGACTTGGGGGGGCCTGGTTCCAACTCTGGGGAGGTGCTAAAGATCACGAGCAGCTAGTTGCCTAGAGAACGGAGGTGGCACCTGAGGGAGTGCCCGGCCCCGGGAGCGGGTCGAAGGAAAAGAGGCGGAGAGCCCGGAGAGGCTGCTCCGGGCAGAGGGAGCAGCAGAGCCGAGGCTCAGGCCACTGAGGCCCAGGAGCCGGGCTGCTTCGGGCCCATCACGACAGGCCGGGTTCACTCTCTTTGACTGTCCTGGGAGGGGGCTTTCTAAAGATGTGCCCACCTGGGAGGCGACCTGAGTGATTTGGCCAAAGTCACACAGCTGTGGCAGAGCCAGCACTCAAGCCCAAGGTCTTCTGAGTGCAAATATATCGTCCTTCCCGCTGTCTCTGAGTTTTAAAAGCCTTTGCTTAAAATAATAATAATAAATGGTGAAAACAGGCACTAATGAAAAAAAAAAGATGGAATAAACGAATTCTGACAAAAAGTACTAACTGTATTTAGTGAATTATATACGAAGTTTTAATCTTTGGTGCTCATGTTTTAAAAATTAAGAAATAAATATTTCTTTTACATGAAAAGGAAGAAAAATTGTAATTTATCCCCAGAAGTACAGGCAGCAGACAAGCCAAATGAAGTTATTTGAAAATATTGTATCCTTATAAATCTGTATCACAAAGCTAAAACTCTGATATTACATGGACAGGCTTCAGGTTTTTGGAAAGTCTCAATAATCAGACTTTTTGTTCCCAAACAAGGTTTTCTTCTGGAAATGACAGAGTTTGGCTTATTAGTTTTTCTACTGGAACATAAACCTATGGCTCATGTTGTGATCTCCATAGCAAAAAGAAAAGGGTTACATGCCAAGAGCTCAGGTTAAAAAACATCAGTGTAGGACAGGATTTATTTAACCCAATAGAAAACCCCACTGAGGACACCTGGTTCTGTGATCATACAAGATGAGTCAGTGAGTGAAAAGGCATTTTATTAAGTGCTTACTATATGCAAAGCACTGTGCAACACAGTGCCTGTTTGCAAGGAGCTGCAAGTCATGGAAGGTCAGGGGTCCTTAGAATGCAACAGCAAAGCATATGGTCTTGCATCTTTTTTAATACTTCTGATAAAATCATTCATTTCTGCTGTTGAACCATTGGATGATATCAAGGATTTGGTGGTAAAAACTTTTAATTAGGTGTGGCTGCTGAAAAGGGAGAGCTGCAGTGCCTACATAGGTGTCTATCAGGCTCCACTGCCATCGTGGTTGTTTCCTGAGATGACATCTTTGGGTACTGAGCTGGAGGCAGGATTGGTGGTCTTGGGGCAGTGCTATTCCCAAGGCGCCTGGCTTCAGAGTTCTACCTTATAAACACTGTCAGATTTGGAGGGGAGGTAGTGATGGTGATGGTGATCTTGCTGGTTTGACTTGCCTGTTGTGTACTCTTCTGGATGTCTTGCTCTTTCTACTAGGTAAGCTTACCTGTCCTGCAGGTGGCAGTTGACAGCTGGTGGGAATAGCTGGCCCCCTCTCCACAGGAATTACTTTCTGATAACTTTCCTTTTTTCCCTAGTAGACATCTTCCTCAGGATTCTATGTGGTCTTCTAGTATTGAAGCTGTGTATTCAAAACCAGGAAAGAACTAAGGTTTGCTGTAGAGTTAAGCCATGCCCTCCTGTGGCCCTTGGAGACATATGCATTTGCTCTAGCCTATTGTACCATCTTGGGCTTTAGGCGCCTTGCAAACAGGGAAATAAGTTAGGGTTGTTGATAAGGAGTCAAGCAACCCACTGCTCTTGAAGAGCCCACCTTTCTTCAGGATCTCCTCCTTTCACAATACTTTTGGTACCCATGAAGGACAGGGTCTGGGTTTGCTCCACAACATGGCCCCTTGTTGCTTCGCTAGTTTCCTCTTAGGAACTCTGCAGTGTACAGGAACTCTTCTGCTGCGTCCCTCATGTTTCAGTCACTGTTAGCAGCTCTCATTGCTGAGGCTTCCCAGGTGACTTCGGAACCCTTTGCTGCACTGCAGCTGCTTCCACTTGATGCCATCCCTAGGGCATTTACCTCCCCGAAGGCCCTGTCTCGTCTCCACTTATCACTCCAGCTCCAGTGCCATAGGATTATAGGTATAGAGGTGGAAGGGACCTCAGACACCATGTAGTCCAACCTCATTTTGCAGATAAGGAAACTTGAGGCCCAAGGAAGGACCAAACCCAAGGATGCGTAGCCCAGGAGTATGAACTGACTAATAATAAATAAGTCATCATTTTAGCATTAGAGGGACAAAGTAAACACCCACAGCCAGGCAAGTTCACATCTTATCAAAGAGCCCCTTTTTTCAAGGAATTTAATGCTTTGTTAAAGAAATACAAGAAGAATTGAAGAGGGCCTTCCTAGACATTCCTTCATAACAACAGTTGGATTTTTAAAAAGGGGGTAGGGGGATTGCTCTGTGACACATTGGAAAATGAAAACTCAGAGAAGAGGTGTGAATCACCTCCATATTTCTAACATTAATAGAAATGGAAAAGTTACTTTTTAATTTAAAAAATCGTAAATTAGGAAAAAAGAGAACCAAAAGTAGGGAACAACAAAAATATATTGATGTGATGGAAACATGACAAAAGACAAGTCAGCAGTACAGGATATAAAACAACAAGGTACATTGCCACCTAGGTAAGGTAGTTCAGTGGTGTCAAACTCAAACAGAAACAAATCCCTACATGTCACATTGACTTAGAAAACCACAGATTAACATTATCTATGTAGTTTTAAAAAATTGTTAAATATTTCCCAATTACATCTAACCTGGTTTGGGCCTTACTGGGGCTTCAAATTTGACACCTCTGATATAGTGGATAAAGGGAATTGGGAAGACCTGAGTTCAAATCCTGCCTCAGTAACTTACTGGTTATGTAACCATGGGTGAGTCACTTAACTTCTCAGTTGCATCTTCTCAATCTTCATTTTTAAAATGGAGTTAGTAATAGCAGCTAACTCAGTGTGAATCTCAAGGGTGATATAAAGTACTTTGCAAATTTTAAAATTTGATTAAATTCTAAATTCTAAGTTTGCCATAATGATTCACCCAACATACTAGATGCTTTCTGAACTTTTTCCTGACATTAAGAGGGTACCAGTGGAGCACAATGACTATTAGTCATCCCTAGTTCTTACCACATGACCAACCCATCTTCTCTTCCTGTGATACAATTCCTTGATGATGCCCTTTATTCTTGTTCTTCTGTAGAGTTCTGCATTGGCTTCATGTTTGGCCTGCTCGTACCCCCCCCATGCCTCTCCATTGCCATCTGTATACTATTCATCTTTAGTTATTTGGAGGCAGGGTATTCTATTTCTCACTGCTATATGG